GGATTTGTGGTTGCCTTAGTTAGAGGGTGGCGTCTTGCACTGATTATGTTATCCACTCTTCCCCCCGTGGGGCTATCTATCGCGATTTCATTCATCTTCATGGCAAAAACTGCATCTCGTGCACAGACCGCTTATACTAGAGCTGCAAATTTAGTAGAGCAGACTGTTAGTTCAATTAAAATGGTATGGTTCTGAGGCTTTAATGATTCGTGTCGTCCCATGATGCCATTTGGTCTGGTTCTGAGTTTACTTGAGTTGTTGTTCTCTCCCAGGTTGCGTCGTTTACAGGGGAAAACAAAGCGGTGGCTAGCTACAAAGCGTCGCTTGCCAAGGCTTACAAGTCTGAGGTTTATCAACATCTTGCTCAGGGATTAGGCTCTGGGACATTCATGTTTATTCTGTTCTCCAGTTTCTCTCTGTCTTTCTGGTATGGTGGGAGGTTGATCTTGGAAAAGGGCTATATGGGCGGTGAAGTTATCAATGTAACCTTCGCTGTATTGTTCGGTTCAATGTGAGTTCTTGATTTGTAATCCTTAAACTCCCCAAATTTGCTAAAAAAAAAAAGCACATTTTCAACTTTTTTAAATGCTCATATCAGGGCTCTGGGACAAGCATCAACCTGTATGGCAGCGTTTGCTGCAGGGCAAGCTGCAATGTTCAAGATGTTCGAGATTATAAACCGAAACCCAGAGGTGGATGCAAACGAGATCGATGGTAGAGTGTTGGATGATATTCGAGGCGAAATTGAGCTAAGAGATGTATGTTTTAGTTACCCAGCCAGACCAAGGGACCAAATCCTCAATGGATTTTCAGTGTCAGTTCCCAGTGGAAAAACCTTAGCTTTGGTTGGTCACAGTGGCAGTGGCAAGTCAACAGTGATAAGCCTGATAGAGAGGTTCTATGATCCACAATCTGGCGAAATCCTCGTTGATGGGGTCAATCTTAAAATTTTCAAGCTGAAATGGCTCAGGCGACAAATCGGCCTGGTCAGTCAAGAGCCTGTTCTATTCACAACCACTATTAAAGAAAACATTGCCTATGGAAAAGACTGTGCAACTATGGAGGAAATCAGAGCTGCAGCCGAGTTGGCAAATGCTTACAACTTCATTAAAGATCTGCCTCAGGTTTCATTCATTTCGCTAACTATGTTCATTGAGCATAAACATTCATTCAGAAGGCTGATGGTTTTTTTGTGTAGGGACTAGACACCATGGTAGGGGAAAGGGGAACTCAGCTGTCGGGTGGACAGAAGCAACGAATCGCCATAGCTCGAGCAATCCTAAAGGAACCGCGGGTTTTGCTGCTAGACGAGGCAACGAGTGCTCTAGATGCTGAATCTGAAAGAGCTGTGCAAGAAGCACTGGAAAAAGTTATGGTAAATAGAACAACTGTCATAGTTGCTCATCGTCTAAGCACAGTTAGAAACGCGGATATCATTGCAGTTGTTCATCAAGGACAGATTGCAGAAAAAGGTATCTGATTATCTCAACTCACATGGGCCAAACCACACTGAAAGATAAATCCAATCAATTAGCTAGTCCAACCCGTGACCTTATAAACCCATATGTTCTCTCTTATATTTTCAATGTTTTTTGGCATTCAGGCACTCATTCTCAACTTCTCAAGGATCCCGAAGGAGCCTACTCTCGGCTTCTGCACTTGCAAGAGGCGAATAAAGCAGAAGAATCGCGGGGAGGTGAGGATATGACAGCAGAATCCAATATAGAGTTGGAAAAATGGAGCTCGGGTTCAATGTCAATAGATGTTCTTGACAACTATCCCTCAAGACACGGGATTTCATCCAACAAAACACCCGAAAAGGCTGCAGATGTTTCACTTTGTCGCTTTGCCTCTCTCAGCAAGCCAGAACTTCCAACGCTCGCAGCAGCTGCCACTTTTGCTCTCATTTATGGAGCAATGTTACCCGTTTTGGGCTTACTTTTGGCCAATATGATCCAAACATATTACTTGCCACCAAATAAACTGAAGAAAGATTCAGCATTCTGGGCACTAATGCTTGTGATTCTTGGAGCAGTGTCATTACTGTCTATTCTGATAACGACATGCCTATTCGGGGTGGCTAGAGGTAAACTAATCAATCGAATTGCTTCCATGTGCTTCGAAAAGGTCGTTCATACAGAAATTGGTTGGTTCGATGAGCCACAGAACTCGAGTGGAGTAATAGCAGCAAAGCTCTCTTCTGATGCAGCTACAATCAGAACACTAATCAGTGATGCCCTTATCCAGATGATTCGAAATCTTGTTTCTTGTATTCTTGGTTTAGTCATCGCTTTTCGAGCAAGCTGGCAGCTATCACTGTTTTCCTTCATCATGTTCCCACTAATCGGGGCAAATATATACGTTGAAGCCAAGCACACGAAAGGGTTCAGTACCGATACAAAGGTCTGCTATCAGTTTCTTGATCACCTGTAACATTATTCACCTGAAACCAAAAACAAAAACAAAAAAAAAAAAAGACAGTTTCTTAGTTTAGTCTCAATTGTTTCAGATGTTGTACGAGGATGCCACGCAAGTTGCCAGCGATGCAGTTGGAAACATGAGAACAGTTGCATCTTTCTGTGCAGAAGAGAAGGTCATGGAACTGTACAACACAAAATGCGAGAAACCAAAGAGGCGAGGAATTAAGAGAGGGCTGATAACAGGGATGAGCTTTGGTCTAACATGTACTTCGATATTCTTCGTTCACGCCAGCATTTCTTATTTTGGTGCACATCTCGTGGCGGGTGGCAAAGCAACGTTTGATGATTATTTTCGCGTAAGCATCATACCATACAATCCCATTTCTTCAGCAACATATTGGTACTAAAAGAGAGTTCTTTCACTTTCTTTTCATCTGACAGGTTTACTATGCAATGTATTTTACAACTTCTGTACTATCTCAATCAAGCTCCTTCACCCAAGATTTCCGAAAAGCAAAAACTGTTGCTAAGTCGATATTCGGGCTTCTAGACAGACAGTCTAAGATTGACCTCGACGAGAAGTCTGGTTTGGAACTAGACTCAGTGCAGGGAGAAATCGAGTTTCAAAATGTATGCTATGCATATCCAACTAGACCAGATGTCAAAGTTCTCTGTGGTTTCAGCTTCACAATTCAGAACGGGAAGGTATGTTTCGTCCTTTCTTCCTTACTATTTTGAACCAATTTAAACGTCTCATTTTAAAAACCTCTACTGTTACCAGACAGTTGCACTAGTGGGGAAGAGTGGGAGTGGGAAGTCGACAGTGATAGCATTGCTGGAGAGATTTTATGATTGTGATTCGGGGCGAATAATGCTAGATGGAGTTGATATTAGAAATTTGAACATGAAATGGCTAAGGAAGCAGATGGGGCTTGTAAGCCAAGAACCAGTTTTATTAAATGACACCATCAGAGCAAACATTACCTATGGGAAAGAAGAAGATGTAACAGAAGGAGAAGTCATAGCTGCAGCAGAGCTGGCAAATGCTCACAAGTTCATCAGTGGCCTTCAACAGGTCACAATTAAATGAGTGTTTTCTCTGTGTTCTTTATTGTTGAGTTTGTCTCCTATAAGGATTAGGAATATGAGTTTGTTTCATATTCATTGTATAGGGATTAGATGTCTATAAATACATTGATTCTTATCCATGACACAAAATATGCAGGGATATGATACGGTGGTAGGGGAGCGAGGGATTCAGCTGTCTGGGGGACAGAAGCAACGACTGGCCATTGCGCGAGCCATTATGAGAGCCCGAGAATACTGCTGTTGGACGAGGCGACTAGCGCGTTAGATGCTGAATCGGAGAGGATGGTTCAGGATGCACTGGACAAGATTATGGTAAACCGGACCACGATAATGATAGCACATAGGCTGTCAACAGTTAGAGGAGCTGATGTAATTGCTGTAGTTAAGGATGGAGCTGTTGTGGAGAAGGGAAAGCATGATATGCTTATTGCTAAAAGAGATGGTCACTATGCATCCCTAGTTGCACTCCACACAAACCCTTCATCAGAACCCTCAGCAACAACAGCAGCAGAAGAAGAAGATATATACAGCTTATAGAAATTTTACCCAGGGGTGTGCAAATTTCGGTTAAAGTTCGGTTAAGAACCGAAGAATTTCGGTTAATCGTTCTTTAACCGAAAAACTTCAGTTTGATTAATGGTTAAAGGATTTGCAAATTTTCGATTAACGGTTAATTCAATTCAAAATTATAGGTTAATTGAATATATATATATATATATATATATATATATATATATATATATATATATATATAAAATTATATATATATGGATGTTGGACTTTATAATTTGTACTTTTATGTTTGTAGTATTATTATGGTATTGCGTTTGTATATTTTTTTTTTATGGATTTGTTATAATAGGTATTATTTTAAGGATTGCTTAAAAAACTTTGAGATTAATTCGGTAATACAAAGTTCGGTTCAATTAACGATTAAACCTTTAAAAACTTTGGTTAAAATTGTTCAGTTAAAACTCGCTTAACCAATTTCACACCCCTAACCTAGGCAGCTCAGTTATTTAGATCAAGCCAATATGGTGGGCACCGGTGTTGGTCCTCCCACCTAATTGTCTACTAGGTCACCAGTTCACCGTGATTTACGCCTCCGCTACCTTGTTAGGCCATAGTGTGAAGGCCCTAGGGTGAGAAAAATTTCTCCTTTTATGGACAAGCTTATAGAAATTTTTTACACTGTACATAATATTTGTAGAATTACAGAGAGAAATGAAATGATGTTCAATAATTGTTATACACAGTTACCCACACCATATCTCTTCAAGATCAACTTAACCAGATACAAGAAAACAGAAACTAAAAATGAGCATATAAACTAGACATTATTAGATTGTACTCACAGAAAATATCAAAATATATAAACTAGACTTAATGAATGGTTGAAATCAAACTCTAGATTCTAAATGAGGAAGCCAATGTAGAAACAACTACAGAATGCAATGGCATGCCTTAATACTGGCTAAAATGAAATTGAAATTGATGAAAACATGTACATTAGCCATTAAGTTAAAAGGCCTTCTCATTAACAAAGTTTCTTGCACTTTCATGTTCATCAAAAGAGGGGGTCAGAGATAAAACTACCTGGACTTTTTTAAGTCTCTAAGACTAATAATAGCAGATTTTGATCTTCTCCATTCACTAGGATACAAAGTGACATCCACAATAGGACACTGAAAAATCAAATAGAAGTTGTTGCTCCTGCAATTACTGATTCAACATCTTTTTAACATGGCATCTCTCCTGCAAATAAAAGAGAACTTCCTCTTCCAAAAGAACTGTGATCTATACACAAATAATAGAGAGAGTTGCAAGGGGAAGAGGGGTGGGAAACACTAAATCACCGTATGTAGACAACAGACCCCAATACTAACTCACAATAGTACAAGGCAATTGGAAATTCTTCATCCAGTGCTGGAAAGTACACGGAAATGAATGATCATCAGCTGAAGAGTACATAATAAACTTCTTCAGATTATCCTACTTGTGGGACTTGTGTCTTTTCGAATCCCTCCTCTTTTTATCCTTCTCTCTTGATTTGCTCTTAGATTTGTCTTTCCTACTATGATATTTTTTTGATACTTTTATCTTATCATCACCTGAAACTATTTCATCTTCTGAAGACTCCGAGGAATTCAACCAACGGGGCTTCTCTGGCCCGATGATGGCATGATCTTTGAATTCTACTCTCGGCCCCATATCAGGACCTGACAACTGCTTTTCTTCAGGATCTAAACAAGGGTAAGGACCAGTTTCATCCATTCGTGACCCGACTGTGCCCCTTCCTCTCTTAGCCCTGCAGAAGACGTTTAATTTCTTCAGCAGGAAACAAATGCTATCTTACATAGGAAACAGAAAGTTCACCAAAGACCCTACCAGTCTGACACATTATGAAATAGAGGACAGAGAAAAGAAACACAGAAGGAAGGAAATCACAAATACAACAAATATAGGTACAGGAGACAATGGGTAGACTGACCTTGAATGCAAAAATTCTTCAACTTCAGCATCCCTCAAGCCATCCTCCCTTGAATAGTAATCTTCAATGTCTCTCTTCTTTGATGGGCATGAAGCACTTGAAGTAGAACCAACATCACTGTGTCTCTTAGCCTTAATCCTAGATTCCATAACATCCTTATGACTCCTTGTGCTGCTATTCTCATTTTCTGATCTACGTTTGTTCTTATTCTCATTGTCCAATATTTGTTTGTTCCTACACTCATTTTCCAATCTTCGTTTGTTCCTATTATCAACCTCCAGCTCTTTCTGTCTAAGCCGCCACATCTCATTTACTTCAACAGCTCGATTAGCTGTAATGACCATATCAAACAAAGCAGATAAAAGGAGTAATTAAGTCAACACAATCACTACAGAAATTAATGCATCATCATTTAACAAGGTGGGTGGAAGAAAAGGATTTGGAAAAAGTATGCAATTAAACTAAGAACTTTTAAGTTCATAAGAACAGAGAGTAGTAAACAAACATGACAGCCGAATGATCTTCGTAAAATATAACCATTCACAGATGACAACGCTCACCTTGTTGTACGCCGAGAACAGTTGCCGTTAGAAATCTTGAATTTGGTCGCCCCCTAACTGTAGGTCTATGAAGATAAGCAAGTGCACCATCTTTCTCAGCTTGCCGCCGTAATTCTGCAGCTTCTTTTAAGAGAATCGCAGCAATTCTGTTTTCAGTTGCCAAATCCATAGCTAATGTCCTCTACTGGTGAGCAAGACAAAGGTTAAATATTATCCAACAAGACATAAAAGTAGCAAACTAGCAATGTAAAAGCCCACAATCAGCCAAAGAAATTTAAATGATTAACTAGTTAACCAGAGAAGTGTACTCTTTAAATATTGAGTCCAGAAGTAAACTATCAACTAAAAAAATTTGGCCTTTTGGAGGGTTTCTTCAAAGAAACATGAGGATAAAGTAACATCTTTTTTTTGTTTTACGTATCGTGGAATATGTGATCCCAAATCGAGACAAATCTTTCATTGAAGTAGATAAAAATGGACACTTTAATCGAATATCATAATCTATGAGTACATAAATCTTTATAAAATGGAAATGGAGATGAAGAAGCAAAACCAGTTCGCGAAATATATACACATAACACTGATTTCAACAGAAACTCACCTGGGTTCGCGAAGGAGCCGATTCTGCCAAGCGCCCGGAGATGGTTTTTCCGGCTGTTGGAGGGGCGCAGGTGATCGGTGATGCTTCGCAGGCGGCTAGAGCCCGGAGGTCTCCCGGCTGCTAGGGTTTTGATCTCTGTCGCTACAGGCTAAGATTCTTAGTAGGTCGTGTTTTGGATTGTGAAATTTCTGCTAGAATCAATTCAATTTTGGGAAAATTACATAAAATTATCACACTTTGGAATCTTAGAAAACCCTAGATAGATAGACGCGTTGGGGTTCAGAGTTCACGACGAAAGAAAGGAAAGGTATCGACCCGACGGCCGACGGGCTACGCGGATATAGTCAAATAGGCGGATTTACAATTTTTCTTTTTCTTTTTTTTTTTTCTAACTATAAAATACGGAGTATATACGAAAACTCCCACTATACAAATATTTGTCTGATTTAATTAAATAATTAATTATAATTAGTTAATTAGGAAAATACATTTTTTTTATCAAACAATCTACTAATTATAAACTATATGTTAAACAAAAAATAAATAAATATATGCAATAGTGTCCTTATAGGTCATGTTTGATTTCGATTTGGCATAGTATGTATTTTTAGAGGACACTCAAAAAAAGAAAAATGTTTTATCCTTCAGATGAGACATACAATTAGACAAATCTCATTTAGAATAATATTCATTTATTAGATGACATCAAAATAAGGATTGTTCAATCAAATTACGACACTCTAGATGAAATTCTTATTGCCTTAATATATTGGTATGAAAAGTATAGAATACTATTTAGAAAATACTTCTTTTAGGAGACAACTTAGCTGAGTTGGTCGGACACTAGGCTTATTAGTCATTTAGCCTTAGCCACATCTCACAAGGTTCCATGTTTAACTCTCTATGAAACTACCTAGTACATTTTCAAATGAGTTAATACCCAAAATCGTCCTCGACTATAGTGGTTTTTCTCAATTTCGTCCTAAACGACTTTGGTGACCTAATATCGTCCCAGACTTTTGTGTTTCGCTCAATTTAGTCCTCCATTTGTTATTCCGTCAAATTGGTGTTAAATAAAGGGACAATTCAGTAATGTCAATATTGATCTCTCTTTACTTTCAACTTGTGAAGTGCGAAATTCCTCTTTCTTGTACGAATTACACCCAGAATTACTCCCGGACCTGCAAATCAAATTTTATATTCGCAGTTTTAGGAGTAATTCTGGGAGTAATTCGTAAAAAAAAAAAGGATTTCGCAGTTCACATGTCTATGAGTAAAGAGATGTCAATATTAAAATTACTGAATTGTCTATTTATTTAACACCAAATGGACAGAATAACAAATGAAGGACTAAATTGAGCAAAAACACAAAAGTCTGGGACTAAATTGAGCGAAACACAAAAGTCTGGGACGATATTAGGTCACCAAAGTCGTTTAGGACGAAATTGAGAAAAATCACTATAGTCGATGACGATTTTGAGTATTAATTCATTTTCAAATAGCAAATAGATGTAAATAAAAGAAAATATATACTTTAGGGCACTGTCTATTGCACTTGTGAGAGCAATTTATTAGTATTACTAATTTGAGCCGGCTAATTATGAACAATCTAGACTAGTTAATCACGTACTTTGTCGGCTAAAACTCCAAAGCAAATTTCACTAAGTACACACATTTGAGCAGTAGTTACAGAAAGTCGTAAACCCGTAAATCAAATAAAACACTTTAATTTTTTTATCCATTATATTTTGATAGAAATTGGATATATATATATATATATATATATATATATATATATATATATATAACCATTGTCTATGACCATTTTTCTTCTAGTGATACAAAAATAAATTTTAATTTTTCATACCAAAGTTTATACAATGTGGCGTAACTAAATCACATATTATATTGCAGCCGTACCATTTATATGCATAACATACAAATACGCATGAAATGATTAATCCCGAAAGATACAATAATGAGCTTCGTAATTATTACAATACTTGTGAAGCTCATATCATGTTGCATCTATCTCCTGTGTACTCTTTTGTCACTTCAGGAAAAAGACACCAAAAAATTAAAAGTTGTTTGGATCATTATATTCTAATGGCCAACACCAAGAGGGGGAGCTCTGTAATAAGCTGGAACTGTAATCGGGAAGAACATTTGTCTAACTCCTTCTGCCTTTATGATTGGTAAGATAATCCCAGATGCACCCTGAAATTTCCAACTTTAATTAGTCATAATCAGACAATTTAATACTTGTTTGATTGAGAGTCAAACTTGTAACTTTGTAGTTATCAAATTAATCGTTTGATTAACTTAACTGAAGTTGTCATAATCTAGATTGTCTATAACTAACCGACTTAAACTAAGAAGGCTATACTCACCAAGAGCAATCTAGCTCCTAGCCAAATGCGTTGCGGAGAAGGGAACGGAAGCAACAAGCGGCCGACGCCGTAGACCGCAACGGCGAAGAAATGCACCACCAAGCTGAGAGGTTTAGGGTTGAGTCCAGAAAGCAAAGAAACCGGTCCTTCGGAGAAAACCCCTCCAAGACTAAGGTAATCAAAGCACGCCTCTCTCATCTCCTTCCTAGCTTCATCAGGCGATGCACAGAACACCTTGTACAGTGCCCCCGCCAACGTATTTATGGTGGACGCCACAGGCTACAAAACATTAAATTTTCAACATTAACATATTTTTTGAGTGACCAGAAAACCAAGTCACTGTGCACTTAGTAACTAAACTCTATGGTGTGATTCTAACAGATAAAGAAACATAAGAAGGTCAACCAGTCAAAACTGTCTATAGCTATCTGATCCAGAGTCGAATTTGTAACTTTGTGTTACCAAGTCAACTATCTGACTAACTTAACTGGAGTTAACCATGCAATATGACCGGGGCCGGCCTGGTGCATTTACCTTACGGAGAGTGTAGAAGGATTCGAGGTAGTTGGAGAGGGCGGGTGCGTTGTTGAGGTTGCGCAAAGGTCTGAGAAGATCGCGAAGAAGGACGATGTCGGAAAGGGCGACGGTCATTCCTCCGCCGGTCAAAGGATGTCTCATGTTGAAGGCGTCTCCCAAGAGGAGAGCACCCGGAGTGGAGTGTGGTTTTGCAGGCATGCTTCTATTCGGCATTGTTTTGATGTTTCCTCTATCGATTGCTGCAATGAAAGCGTCATACAGCTCTCGAGGAATCTGAAATATAATTATATCAAACAGCTATCAGCTAACAAGCTAATTTATCAAACACTATACTCTCTAATTAACTCAATCAGCTAACAACTAACAGTCATTTACCAAACAGTTACCTGGGGAGCAACATTGGTTTTGAGGTAATTGGCAAGTTGACCAGTTGCCAGGGAAGGGATTTTTTGACCAGGGATGTCAACCAAACATCGGACTTCAGTGCAACTAATGGGATAAAACAAGATTGGTGAAGGGTCAGCTAATACCACATGGCCATGGTTTGCAAATGGGAGGTCACAATTTTGGAGGACTAAACCCACAAAACATGAAGGGTTGTCCACTTGGGGAGTGCACAAAGAGCGTCGCAGGTTAGAGAAACAGCCGTCACAGACAATAGTCAAAGGTGCAAATGCTGTCGTCGTCACTTCTTGCCCATTATTATCCTTTGTCTTGTATTGCACTCCTTTCACACTTCCCTCTTCCTCAATCAAACATGTCACTGTTCCTTGCTCCATCTTCACACTGCAGGTACATTCGATCACGGAATTATGTTTGATAATAAACAAATTCGTACAAAAATTATGTTTCACCTTAACTTTCTGTCTGTCTAATAAATGGTTAATTAGAAACCTGAACTAACTTTCCATGCATCTAACTTGTTTATAAGATGGATGTTTAGATGGAAAAGTTGACAGAAATTGAGGATTTTGTAACGGTGGAATTGAAGCTAGGGATATGATGATACATACTTGGGAAGTGTCGCTGCTTTGTCCCTCATCCTTTGAATGAAACGGCCGTTATGGAAGCTTCTTCCCGACACATCTGAATGAAATTTCTCCAAGGGATAAGACAACCTCGTACTCTTGCCATCCTTGTAAAGAGCATATCCGTACACTCTCTGGGCATCAATCGTCTCCAAGCAATCTGCAACTAGGGATGTCAATTGAACCCGCACCTGACGGGGAACCCGATTCCCGCCCTTACAGGAACAAGGATGGGAACAGAAATAGAGGATCGGGGATAGGGATGGGGACAATTTTGAATTCTCCGCCGGGAGTGGGGGCGGGGAGAGTACTCCCCGCCCCGCGCCGTCCCCTATATATATATATATATATATATATATATATATATATATATATATATATATTGCCACACAACACACACAAATGTAGAACTTTGTATACAATATATATAATTTTAGAAGTATTCTTGTCATTGTATGTCATGCATATTTAAATAAAATATTTAATTGTAAAATATTGAATACAACTTTAAGTTGGGAATGAATATATATGCGTTATTTATTTAAATATTTTTTAATGTTTAATTTTTTTTTTATAACTTATTAACGGAGTGGGGATTCTCCGTCCCCGAATAATCCCCGTAGGGATGGAGATGGGGGGATGGGGATGGGGACGGGGAATGGGAGGAAAGTCGGGGGCGGGGATGGGGGTATGTCCCCTGCCCCACCCCGCCCCGTTGACATCCCTATCTGCAACACATACAAACCAATTCATTCTGACCTTGTTTGGTAAAATAGTTAGCTTATAAGCTAATTTAAGCTTATTTGACCACTATTAATTGTTTCACTTATTCAGTGTTTGATTAATTATATTTTTTTTAAGTTTATTGTTCTAAAACACTAAAATTTAAAAAGTTGTTCAAAGCAACTTTTTGATAAAGTCATTCCGTATGTAATCAACTATCAGCTAACATCTAATTTGTCAAACATTTCTCTATAATCAGCTAATGTTATCAACTAGTAAAACTCATTAACTCAATAAGCTAATCGTTATCAGCTAACAACTATTTACCAAACACCCCAAATCTGATTCAGCCATTGCTATGCAAAACAAAGAAATTACGTACCTTGGAGGCCTAATTCCATTAGTTTCAAATAGCCTCCGGGTTGAAGAAGCTCGCCCACAATTCTATCCGGTTCACTCAAGTCTCTTTCGATTACGTGAACTCTGCGTCCATCCTAGTATAGGTACAATCAAATTACAAGAATTATATAGAGTTAGGTATGTAGTACAAGGTACTACGTTGGTGATGCATGTCTGTACACAAGAAATACTGCTGGATCGGAGAACTCCGAATTTTTCACAATAATAAATTATTATTTTTAAGTCCAAAACTTGAGCTTTTTTTTTTTTTTTTTTTTTTTTTTTATTGAAAATGACACACCTCCTAAGTCCTAACATTTTGGCTGTTTAATTTGTGGGAGGTGGATAATCATTGGTTATTGAAACTTTGAAAGTGATTGGTAATACTAAGGATATTTTTTATACAACTTATAATTTATTTTAAACTATAAATAAGTTATAATTATTATTTATTTTTTTTAAATTATATAGAGTTTAATATAATAGTTTATTTTGAAATACAAAACAAGTTATTAGATTTTAACTTTTTTTCTTTCTATCCTTTATAAGGATAACACAATCTACTCTTCATTACTCAAAATTATAATATATTTTTTTTTATCCTTTTATGAATTTTCACACTTATCAGATTATTCAACAATTAATTTTATCAAATATTTTAATTTTAATAAGTTAGTTTATCTAGCTTTTCAACTAGGTATGTCGATCAAACAAAGACTAAAGGTGGTTGAAAGACTTTATTATAGTCAAACATTTAAGGGGGTGTTTAGTTGGATGAAAAACTTTTTCAAAAGGAATTTTTTTTTCTTAAATTTGTGGAAAACAGGGTTTTCCTCCGTTTGGTTCATTGAAATTTTTTTTCTATAGGAAAAAGTTGTCCTTAATTATGAGGAAAACTTTTTCAATGGGAAGAAATGATATTTTGTTTTTCATGAAATTTGGGAATAAAAAGTGAATTGACATGACGATTTTGTCCTTGCGATTCATTCTTACTATCATTATTATTGTGTAGAGACATATATTTTTATGCTCATTATTTCTTACAATTTCAAAACCAACTAAACAATAAAATCAATATTCTCAACAATTTCTTTTTCACCAACCAAACAATATAATAGAATCAATCTTTCTAGTAATATAATTACTTTTCTATAGAATTTCAATTATATTCTATTTCCCCTCAAATATTTTTCGCAAACTAAACGGGCCCTAAAAGTTTTATGTTAGAAATGACTTCCCTATCAACTTTCCAACTATTTCAAACTATCTATAAGAATGACACGTAACACTAAAAGTGAGAATAAAAACTTACCAGTTAAATCATCACACACGTTCACATTATTGTTAGGAAAGTTAAAATTTTCCTATATAAGAGACTGGTCATCATGATTTATCATTCACTATCCTATTAATGCTGGATATATGGGGTCCTTAGCTTGAGGCTAAAAATTTCGCCTATACTGTTAAAAATTTCTTAATAATGGCCATAATTGCAATAGGCGCTACTCGCTAGACGCTAGTAGAGTAGCGCCTAATGTGGCGTCGCCTAGGCAGCTAATTATATATATATATATATATATATATATATATATAAATTAAAAAAATTAGCAAATCCGACTTAGCCGAGTTAATTCCGCTAACTCGATCAAATTGGACGAGTTAATTCGATCGAGTTCGCGCCAACTCAGCCGAGTCGACCGAGTTGGGCACCTAAGCGGCCGGCTTTCTAGACAGTTTCCTAGCGACTAATTCGCTATGGCCTAGGGGCGCCTAGTGCCTAGGTTGGTTTTTGTAACCGTGATATTTGTTTGATTGATAAAAAAAAAAAAAAATAATAATAATAATAATAATAATAATAATAAAATAAAAATAAAAATAAAAAAAGTGAAGGATAATTGGTGAATTTCCAGTTACGTGTTACCTATCTACCATGCAGCAAGCTAGAGGAGATATAGAATACGGTACGTACGCACCTTCCCTAGAGTGTGGGCTAGAGCTGCCCCAGCAACACCGGCGCCGACGATGATAACGTCCGTCGTCCTCCCATCCTCCGCCTTCCGGCACCCGTCGTTATTCGCCGGAGACGACGACTTAACGGCGGCCGCCATCTCCTCTTTGCGTCCAAACTTCACGGCGGCCTTGTTTTTCCTGCTAATCTTTCCTCTCAAGTTGTAGAGGCAAACGAAGCACCCCAGTAAAGAAGCAACGAAACTGCCCAGAATATAAAGATCAATCACCACCATCTTCAAGAAAATTTTCTTCAATCAAGTGCCAAGATAAACTGGATTTGATTGGTTTCTCTCTCTAAAATGTATGTGTATCTCTCTCTCTCTCTCTCAATGAACTGCCAAGATGAAGTGTTGTTAGTTGGTGACTTTCAACCGTAAACAACTCCTCTTATAATGAACTTAAATGCATCTGCGGATCTGCCAAATATTAATTAATTCTTAGGTGCAACAGCCACCAGCAAATTAATTTTTTTTTGAATGTTACTATTACATTGTAGCCAACGTCTCCACTGAGGTTCGATCTCATGCTACCAGCAAATTAAATTTTTTAATGAATAAAATAGAGTTAATTCCACCTTCGGTCCATTATTGTCTTTGGTGTCAATTTCAAATTTAGTCTCAAACTATCGTTTTTGCCATTTAAAATCTTAAACTATTATTTTTTGGACATTTTTAGTCCTTATTATGACTTTTCCTATTGTAATAAAGGCATTTTTGTCTTTTGATATGTTTCTTTTGTTATTTTTCCGGGTTCAACCGATTTAAATGATTTAGGACTTTACTAAAAAAATCGATTGAAAAATATGCATGGTTACTAAAAATCAGAGATTACCTAAACTCCTAAACCAATTAAATTAATTGAAATCGGGAAAATAAGAAAAGAAAAATATGAAGAGACAAAAATACTCTTACTAAAAAAAAAAAAAAAGTCAAACTAAAAGTGTTTAAAAAATAATAATCTGTGAGGTTAAATGACAAAAATGATAGTTTTAGACTAAATTTGAAATTGTCACCAAAGACAATGAGAACTCCGGTGTAATTAACTCAATAAAATATATAAAAAGGAAAAAGACTACAAATAGACTTTTCTGGTGTATATACTTATTATATAGTCTTTCAATTCATTACAGCCAATGAATTGTGACATTAAGAAGCCATTTAATAGACAGATTTAAACTTCCCGGCCTGCAATTTGGGAAGGTGACGTTTTAACGGGAGAAAAGTTTGAATTAACTAAAAATGTGATTTATTTAACGTGAAAAAGTTACTTTATACTTTTAAGGTTTCTACTCTATTTTTCTCTCTTCGTACGTGGCAATGTGGCATTTCCAATTTATCCATATAAAAAAAAAAAAAAAAAAAAAAGTGGATTGTAATTTTTATTATTATTCTTTTTATACTCTATCAATCAAGTCATGAAACCCGTGAGCAATGTTGCAAAAATCGCGCCTAAACGCCGATGTCTGGTCGTGTCAAAAAATGTCTGAATCGGCCTCTTCCACGACTGGCCGAATCGACTAGAACCCCTTTTTTTTTAAGAGTTATTCGCCAAAACAACGTCGTTTTAGTAAATAACCCCTAAAAGAAACAAAATCGGCTGAAGCGACGAATAATCCCTAAAATGCCAGAGGAGTCGATCACACTCGCTCAGGCCTACCACCCCATGCCTCCGCCAGTCGCCAGTCAAGGTACGTATGTTATTGATGAATGCCTAGCCTAAGCTTATAGTTGGATTGCACATTAATGGTTATATGTTCAACACGCCCCCTCACGTGTGCGGTGGATTCCAAGCATATTCGACTCTGATACCGAATTGAAGCATGTACTCCATCTCAACTAAAAGCCTAAGCTTATAATTGGATTGCACATTAATAATTATATGCTCAACTACTTATAAATTTTTTTCTTCTTTTTCTTTATTGTCCTGACAAAAATCTAACTTATTTTTAAAACATTACGGTTGTTTTTAACGGATACATTGAAGTGTAAAGATAAGTAGGCATGTGATTTGGTCAGTGCACGCAGGGCAGAATGATTCAAAGTCAACGTTTATTGTCAATTTCCAAAATCGCCAGCCATTTCTGGAAAAACAGAACTAAGATATGGCGAAAGCACTGGAATTCAAAGAGGAAAGTATTTTATATTATTATTATCTTAGAATAGAATCAAAATAAATCCATTATATATGTCAAACATGGAAGGAATCGAAAGAGGACTTCAATATATTTAGTTAGTCAAATAATTGAGACAAAAAAAAAGAATTCGTCCCAATCCAATAAGGGAATTTGGGTGGCGGTGAATGTTGTTTTCCTTTTGTTCTTTGAGTCAAGTCAGCAGTTTATTATGTATGCATGTATGACTTTTTCAATCCATGCTTTACTCACTAGAGGCAAATTTGACTGTGGAGTATAGTCCAAAACGGTGCCGCGTGTTTCTTTTATAATGAAAAGAAACGGTATATGTTCGGTCGTTTTATCCAACTAATTATTTTTTATCGCGTATTTAGTTTCATTCTATATATATTTTTTAGTTTCATTACAACATAATTAAAGTATTATTTTGATATAATTACAGTTTTATTTGAGAATATATATACTTAATATGTAAATATTGTTAATCAGTTTCATTTTATACATATTGTAGTTTCATTATAGCAACAACTAATGTATCATTTTAATTCAATTACAGTTTCATTTGACAATACACACTCAATATGTGAGACCAGCTTGTTATTTAGTTTCATTTTATAAACACACTTAGTTTCATTACAATACAACTAAAGTATCATTTTAATTCAACTACAGTTTCATTTGACAATGTACACTCAATATATGAGACATGTTACTCAGTTTCATTATTTTAGAAACACTAGTTTCATTACATCACAACTAAAGTATCACTCTGATTCAACTATAGTTTCATTTGACAATATACACTCAATATGTGAGATATGTTATTCAATTTCATTTTAGATACACTGTAATTTCATTTTGTTCGGAACACATCATAAATACGGGATTAGTAACGGCCACCTGCATTTCTGTTTCTTTTTACTTAAAAAAAAAAAAAAAAAAAAAAAACGACATTTTTGGACCATGGTCCATTGTATAACAATTGTTCACTAGAAGTCCCTTACCCCTAGGGCCTTACATTTTGACTCGACAAGATTGTGGAGAAGTAAAGGAGTCCGACTCAATCCTAAGTCTCCACCCTCCATCTGCCATCTTAAGTACTAATTGAGTTGTCTATGCAAGCTCAATCCATGTTGTACTAATGGTACATAGTGGGGGAGATACAAAACATAAAATATACTCACATGTCACAACATTGTAAAATTTTCGTCTTTTTTTTTTTTTTTAATCTTTTAAATTATAATTTCTGACAAAGATTAATTAGGTATATGATGTCATTTACCACTTCAACGATGCAAACTCATTAGGCGGCACAACAAGCCCTATCGCGACAATTATTGAATTAATTAAGCTATCATATAACCACCATCACTCGTAATAAACCCTCAAATCCAAACACTATAAATAGCTAGAGTAGCAAAAGGAACTCAAGTTTGAAACGAGTTATTGTAAAAATTTGAATCTTGTAATCAAATCTAGAGTTCAAACCTTATAAGTAGATCAAGTAACAAGCGACAAAAGAGCTTAAAATTTTAAAACATCTAGTCTAAGTGTTATATGTATCACTTAATAAGCATATGCTTCATCTCAACTAAAAGCTTAAGCTGATAGTTTGATTGCACCCTCACGTGTGTGCGGTAAACCGTGGCGCTAAGTGTTATATGTATCACTTAATAGTGTTTAGTCGTGTTCATCGTCATCACCTCAGATTGCGGCCCTACGACTATCAGATCAGTCTCTAAATTCATGAATGAATTAAATATGATCGAGATGTATACCAATTATTACCAAACTACCAAAATCATGGCTCACAAAATATGGGCTTTCTGGCAATACGCACGCATCATTAATATCTCAAAATACATTACCCTACCTCCATTACCACATGAAAATAGTGTATAAAGTAACAATCCAATTAGGAATGACAATTCGACCCAGACTCGATGGAAAATTTGGGGCCCCGCCCCAACAGCCCATGGAGTGAGGATAGGCAAATTATTGTGTGGACCATAACAAAAAGTACATTTATAATATACTAAATGCACATTATTTTTGTACTGAATGTACATTATACAATATAATGTACACTCAGAACAAAAATAATGTACAATATAATGTACTAGTTATATATTGTACTAGTTTTTTTTTTTTTTTGAATTGACTGTTACAATGTAATATCTATTTATAACTACTTTATCAACTTACTGAAGCAAAAAGAGTCAATACCGCCATCATTGAAGCTCAAACTCATGACTTCCCATTTAGGAAAGTCACTTCAGGACACTAGTTGTATTTAAAATAATTGCATATTTTAAGTATTGTTGTATATTTTTATGTTCCTATTTCTTATTAATTACTTAATTAGTACAATTTTTATGGATGTTAGACTAACTGAATATTTAAATATACAAATTTACAACTTAATTGTATAATTTAAATAATATATTATTTTATTCTATACTAAAAAATCATGACACAATCCACACGGGAACGGGATAATTCCACATCCCCACCCCCACCGGGGAACTGGGAGGGGTTGGAGAACGGGTAAGAAATTAGGGGTGGGGAAGGGGGACCCTACTCCCTGCCCCCTCCCTGTTGCTATTTTTTTTTATGTGTAGTCCAGAATTTTCAACGTCGAATACAATGACTAATTCCCTCGCTGAATTGTAAGCACTTCTATTGAGTGAGACAGCTAGCCTGGAAATTTAAAATTGCTCCATACTCAAAGCCAAAAATCAAATTATTGACATTTGGTTAAGGATGAATAAATCTCTTTCCACTCAACCACACCTCTCAGGTTTCCCTCCCTGTTGCTAAGCCTAGCTCTAGTAACCAAATTCACGGCAAACAACTTAGGGGCTAAAAGTGTCATTTTCCCTAATTTCTATAAAATTGATCTCAGTTTTCTTGATTTTCTCCATTCACTTGGGCACAAAGCAACATCCACAACAGGAAGTTGAAAAACCAAGAAGCTGTAACTATTCAAGTTAAAGACTTTAAAGCTAAACCAAAACTTTGTCCTATAAAGTTAATCCATAAGTCAGGTAACTATTGGACAGTAAGAATTAATCCAAGAGAACAACACAGAACATTCTGCAAAACTACATTAATAAAAGGATTGAAGAAAGTTACAATGAAGTGAAAGTATGGTGCTTTTCTTCTGTTTTTCATTCACTGTTCGGGAAATACCTGAGTGGGGGCTGAAAATGGTAGGAAGATGCCTCGATAGATCACTAAACTTTTAACTATTCTCGAATTCGTGCCAGTCATCAAGAAGCTCTCTTAGGAGGTGCCATATTATGAATGAGAGATACTGTTGTAGCAATTGAGAAGATCTGTATCACAAATCCTGCAGGAAAAAGAAAAAAGTGTATATCATTACACTGGGCAATTTATGTAATTATCTAGAGAAATTTCGGACTTAATCTAGAGAGCTTACCAAGTACAGTAGCAGTAATCTTCACGACTTCAAGGTTTGGTGGCAGCATGCTATTCAAATTTTGAACAACCTAAAAAAAGACACGAGATAAAAATGAGTTTTAAAACTCACAATTCAAAAGAAGCTCATCTATATGGACAACAGCAGTAAAAAAAAAAAAAAGTCAATATTCAAGGGTTAAACAAAAAAGTGGATCAAACCACCTCACTTGAAAAGGGATAAATAATAATCATCACCAAGGTAAAAAAGAAATACAAGTATAAGAATGAGAAACCGAATAAAATATGATAAATGACAAAATACCCAACTATGAGTGAAGTGAAAGGTTTAAACTTCAAGAAAGCTACTCTAAGTTCATGTAAACTGGTTCTGTTTCGTCCACGGAACACCATAATCCGTGGCAGAAAATTATGGGAACATGTGAATGAAATAACAGCTATCTTAGCCAATATAATTGGCAAGAAAACGATATTTATCCAACTAATAACTAGGCTTGAATTGTCTTTTTCAATTAAGAAGCCATCAAACAATACACAAATGTCCACATGCATACTTTGTCAAAGAAGCTAAAAGGGATTGAACAAAAATGCTGGCTCTATAGCGCATTTGTAGATCATTTTCACCTAAAAAGAGAGTAGAAATGAGAAAATTTCTATGTTGTTATTCTATGTATAGAAGCTGAGAACCAATTGCAGTCTTCTTGTTCAAGATTACCATGCTAACATGCCAAAACCCAGTGATTAGCCAATCTTGTCCTTTACAAAGCACATTTTAGATTCCATCTAAGACTACAATCTCTCTAGGCAGGAGTAAACGGTCTGCAGCATTGCACTGAGATTTAGAGGTAAGGCAACACCAATGACTTCAACTTCAGGTCTTGAGAAACATAAAGAAATAAACTTTCTTCATCACAAATTGCATGTTTTGCAGGGTTATTTGCACTAAATATATCTAAAAGATCATGCACTATTGTTGAATATGATAGTGAAATTCTACACAACCTTGTAGTTGTTCCATTGAAACAAGGTTACAAATATATGAAAGGATCAGTCTTGTATCAAACAGTAAACGATTAATGATCCTGTAAATTTACCTCCAAAAGATTGTGACTCCTAGCAAAACACGCAGCAGGCAATATTATAGCTGCCGATGATCCTAACACATAAAACTTCAAAAAGTTTGATCTGCTGCGCTTTTGACCTTCAGCACAAAAACAACACATCTTTCAATGAAAAATGCACAACCATTAACTCATTACCTGAGAATGACAAGAATTGGAGAATAATGAATAATACATACCTAATTCTCCACTTATAATAGAGATGAAGCCTAATGCAACAGAAGAGAAAGCACATCCGTCCAAAGTCTCTGTCTTTGCTGCTGCCAAAAATGTGCTTACTGCTATTATCAATTGAACAATAGCCTGCAATAATAATGAAGCTCAAGTAAAAGTGAACCAATTGCAATCCTCAGAAATTCACAACCACACCAACTTAGCCAATGAAAAACAACAATTCTGACAATTGCAATAAACAGCAAGTAAATAAAGGTCGATGCTCTTCATACCTGAATGAATATGATTTTGGAAAGTCGAGATTTTCCTTTGGCAACTTTTTGATATCCTGCCACCAAAAACACGAATTAATAATTTATCAAAAACAAAATATCACAAAACCCTAACAGAAGCAGACTTTAACAGGGAAAAAGGTAATTTACGGGAGTCAACCACCATGCGGTAGGAGAAATCGGAACCATCGGTTCCAGACGGCCGCCGACTAGCTGCCGATGTTCTTTGATGCATCTCTCTCCACCTACTAGCAGTGTGTATTCGGGGTATAGACAGGCACTCCTAGAATGACGAGCCAAAAAATATATAATCTAAACAAGTAAACATAGAATTTTCCAGCAAACAAATAAACTGATAAACATAAGCAAAGCATAATTTCTGGAAATAAAACACCAGATAGTCTCTAATCTCTAACACTAGTTGACAAAATGATGTATTCTTAATTCAATGAGAAAGCTATATATTTTTTACACAATCAATTAACAAGCTATACAGCCTATACTACAAAAATAAAAGACAAAACTACTAATAAAGCACTTTGAAAAGTTATGACAAGTAAAGCACTTCTAAAGAAGAACAAAGAGTAAACCATTACCAAAAAGATTGGGGAGAGAGTAGGTAATCAAGAACATGAATGTTTATTCATTTTATCTGGAAAGATTATTTTCAAAGAACACAACACATAGCTTGCAAATTTATTTGATTCTTTGATAAAAAAAACAAAAAGTAAAATAAAATAAAAATGAAGATTTTCCTGCAGGGTCACACACTCTGACACTCACACTGCCGATAAATTCATCAAAATCAAAAACGCATCAAGAAAAATTCCCACTTCCTTTATTAAAAGAAGGAAAATTCGAAGCAGCATATCTTTGTTTGCTTTTATGAACAGAATAGCAACATAATAATAGAGACAATATGAAACGATAAATGTATACAAATACAGACAATACTTTGGAATCCTAATTTCGTACTCAATTCATATCACACACGGAGTTACAGTCTTAAGGTTTTGATTGAAAAAGTACACAAATCATACTGTTCTGTACATAATCAAGATTCAATAAGCAAAAGTGGTGCTGCAGATAGCACAACAAAATAACATAACCTCAACGGCGAAGCTTACAATTTTTCAGAAAATAATCATCTGCTAATCCCTATTGTTATGAATAATTGGTTATAATACATACGGATATCAAACAGGTGTTACAGAATACACTAACACAGAGTTACAGTCTTACAGAATAGACTAATACAGACAACATACATACATACATACAAATGCAATACGAAAATACATCAAAAGAATAGGTTAGGGCAAACTAATTGAAAATTTAGGGAATTACGGATTTATCAATCATCATTTTTATAGAATTAGCCATTAGGGCAAACTAATTAAGAGAATAAAGTACCTAACTACCTGAGGCTATAAATCTATAATGGTGGACGAATGGTGAACGGACGGAGCCACGGAGGAGAATAGCCGGACGACGGTGGTCGGTGGAGGCGTGGAGTAATGGGCGCGAATCTGCAAATCTTCGATGAAGAGTTCTGATGGAGTGATGAAGCTGCTGGCTGGGGCGTGGAGGCAGGAGCTTGAGGAAGCAATGGAAAATAAAAAATGGCTGCTGGCTGCGGTCTGCGTAACGTTGAGAAGACAGAGGCGAAACAGGAGAGAGCGTCGGCTGGTTAGAATAATAATAATAATAATAATAATAATAATAATAATAATATATATGCTTCGGATCCCATGAGGTCACTTAGATGGGTGAGATAATGGGGTCTCATCTCATCCATTAAATCATGAGGTCACTTAGATGGGTGAGATAATGGGGTCTCATCTCATCCATTAAATCATAACATATCAAATGGTGAGATTGAAAGAGATTTATTTTTCATCTATGGTAGTAGTCTATGCATAAGTGTGTATAAGTAATTGTAATATTAGAGCTATATATGATTAGGAATAGATTGGAATACATTCCATGCTAAGGATTAACTAATTATGGTGTTGACTAATATATTTACGGTTATAAATTATTGTTGATAGAGTGTGAGTTGTATTTAAACATTTGTACTCAGCAATAGTGTTTTGCGGTGGGATATCTCCTCAACAATGAAGGTGCAGCCGGATAGAGGTATGTGCAACCTTAATAGAAGTGTGTTATGGGTTATGTTCTGTCTGTGCCGTCATTTAGTTAAGTCGGTGCGTTGAGTTAAGAACCCAACGCACAAGCCCAAAAACTAAACCGAACAAACGTCAGACCTACTAGAATCCAGTGTAAATTTTAAACCAAAAAAAAAAAAAACAAAAAAAAAACAAAAAAAAAAAAAAACAAAAACAAAAAACAAAAAAAAACACACCCCTTGTAAACCCCAATCGCACAGACCATAACAACAAAAAGCACCAAATAAATATATAAAATAACAACACACCAACAGTTAATAGATCATAACATGTTACAATTAAAATACACATACCAAAATTGCTTTACGTAAAAAAAAAAAAAAAAAACAAAAACAAAAACCAAGATATAAAAATATGGTAAAAGTTTGCCTCAATTCTAGTTGACAGTCCAAATAAGAGATATTTGGCCTGAAAACTTGTCAACCTATTTGTGACCCAACGCACAAGCCGAACACATAAAATGCACACACAAAAACTTCATAACACAACACAAACTTCTGTTCATTAATTTTTAAATTGAATAACGAAATCAACATGCAACAAAAACCACAACCATACCGCTGATTGATCATACCCGTCATAACAAAGAATTTAAGCCAAATGCACACACGGGAAAACAAATTGCACACACAGCTTAACAAAGAATTGAAGCCAAATGCACACACGGAAAAACAAATTGCACACACCCGATACAATACCATAATTAAGTAGTGCACAAGCCTATAAAATCTGCTAATTAATTATTACACCCTAATTAAGACACTACCAAAAAGACAATAACACCCCCACATGCAAATAAATCACACGCACAAGGCATTATATTCAGCCAAATCTAATCCATCCAAAAATCCAAATAAACGCACCAGATCAAGCCTCACCACCTCGCCTGACAAAGGTAACCTCACCGGATCCAAAATCTATATATATATATATATATATATATATATATATATATATATATATATATATATATATATATATATATATATATTGTAAGTATTTTCTATAATATAATATATTATAATATATTGTATTAATTAAGTGGTTGTGGTGCAAGTGGAAGATTAAGTCAGTTAGTGGCTTAATCTGTTAGGCAACTCAGGATATTTAGTTTAGGATTAACTGAATATCTGCCTACATTGATGGCATGTAGGCTTCTAAGCATAATGAGTCCTCCCACAGCTCCCGAGTTCAGAATACACGCACCATCAGGTATTCGGTAGAGAAGTGGTAGACAAAACACTAACCTTTATTCTGCAGGTTTACCATCTCGTGGCAATATCAATGACTATGGCTGGGGATATTCGGACGATCCTAAAGCTTCTGCGGTAACGAGACAGGTTACTCGTTTAGTACAGTTTATGTTAGCCTTAATATTATTATCTAACATATATATATATATATATATATATATATATATATATATATATATATATATATAACAGCCCTAAAACGAGTGTTTTTGAAGTGTTATTACACAATTATTCTTCCAAATTTGTTATTATACAATTACAGATTTACTATATGCACACCTTGATATAGTAGATGTAAGTTTTCTTTGTCATTCAAAAAATAATGTTAACATATTACTAACAAGTTGTATTAAAGTTGTTATAGTATAACTCATTCAGTATTGTCTTCTCTTGAAATATTAAGAACATGACTTGCAAAATAAGGTGTATCTAGAGAGGATGTGGTGATATTGCTTTGGCTTTGGTTGCCCCTCTTATGTACCCAAAAAAAAAAAAAAAAAAAAAAAAAAAAAAAAAAAAAAAAAAAAAAAGTAAGAGGTTTGAGACTAGCAAGAGCAAAGAGTGATTTGATAGATCAAATTTAAGTTATTTTGATCTTTGCAATATTCTTTCACTTTTAAAAGTATGTTTTACTTATACATTATTAAATTTGTAATTCACTTAATATTTTACATATATCTCGCCTGTAACTCTTTGACCCTAAAAAATGTCACACTTTTCCATCGTATTATAATATAATAACAAATTAATAAATAAAAAGAAAGTACAAAAGGTTGTCGCATGCTGCCGAAGGGTATAGCCTTTTGCAAGTTTTGCAAGCTTTGCTGATATGCTCATACATTAGCTAAGTCTTGTATCTCCTCGTTGGAAGACGACACTTTGTTTTGGGACACTGTCCTCCCTGACTCTATTTTGGAGTTCTTGAATTAACCTACACAGTATTTTACCCTTCAAAAAAAAAAAAAAAAAAAAAAGAAGACACAAAGCTTCCATATCATCTCACGAGTAGTAAAAATTCAAGGATAATGTTAGTTTTATGAATGATTGGTTAAATTTAATACAGATAAATGTTTTAGTATAGAGCGAGAAGAAGGTTGAGAGAGGTGAACTCTTGCAAGTTGACAAGGATGAGCGATGGAGTTTACTTTTAATATAGGTGTGTAGCTACAAGAAGAGTTTACTAATCTTTGAGACCTTCTGATCCCTCATTCGTACAAAAAAAAAAATATAAGTGTAGTGTGGAAGAAGCAAAAGACTTAGGCAACTACGAGTTGGACTTTCCTAAAGTCTTTAGCTTACTTAGGTGAAGATATATCATCGTATTAAAAATGGATGTGTTTCAAAAAAGTAATCACATGATTAGCAAAGATTGTTCGGACTTTTGTTGACTTCTTTACAAGTGCTTCACTTTCATTAATAACTCCTTATAAACTTCTACAAATTATTTTTAAGTTGAGTAAGCAAAGAGTACATTTTCTATGTAATTACATATTAACATACTTTCAGCATTAACAAAGAAGACTAATAGATAACTTTAAGAATCAAATTTAAAAATTTATAATTATCAAACTAACTTTTGGCTAACTTGATTGGGAAGAATTGCACCCAATTTTGGCTTACTTGTACAGTTGTACACCCACAAGCTGACAAGCATATAGACCGAATAAAATGGTCTATGGGGACCAAAGTTGTTGATGTATGTAATTCCACATTTGCCCCCAAGCTAGATCGGTTCTAACGGCTACTTGCAGACAGGCATTTGAAAAGCAACGGCTGTCTACAACAAAGCATTCACCAAACGCTCTTCTTCCTCACTCTCTCTCACGCACTCGCAGAAGCCGTTGCGACGCTCCACCGCACCGCACAGCACAGCCGGAAATGGTGAAGGAACTCGGAATCCGATCCGCTTCACTGCCGGAGTCCATTTGCAGCGGTAGCGGCGGGAGCAGTATGGACACCGGAGAAGACGAGGAGTTCTACGAGAGGATCGAGGCTCCTAAGTTCGTCGATTTCACCGCTCCGGATCATTTCCGCCCCGACGATCACTACTGGTTCTGCCTCCGTGTTGGTACATTGTCTTCACCTCTCAAACTTTCCTCGTTTTTGTTAGTAATTTCTCAACTTACATGTACTATTGTTTGAATATATGATGAGCGTTCCTTAATTCTACATACACGATCTGAAAATTACGTTGCTCGATTTTGCAACACTGTTTACTCGGCTTCGCCATTGTGTTAGCTTCTGAGCGTAGGTTGAACTTCCTGTTAGATCTATATACTAATGCGAGAACGAAGAACAGAATCTGATGCATACTGTTATCTGCTTTAATGCAACACCTTCATAAACCTAACCTTGTTCTTCTAGTCTTATTTTGATAGTGAAAGCTTCATATTTCTAGTACACTAGACTTCCACTACGTGTGCACCGGATTAATCCTACTTTGTGACCTTAACCGGCAAAGAATCACATAAACAAACTTAGACTGTCCATATCTGACCGACTTAAAACAAGAAGAGGCCAATAGACTGCTCCCACGGAGAGTCGAACTTGTAACCCACAACAGCCTGACCAACTTGGTTGGAATTGCCTCCTAGATGTATAATTTTTTGTAGTGACATAATGTAGTTTATAGCTAGAGTTTTCAAGATGTTCCCAAACTGTGATGCTAAGAATTACATTCATTCTGCTTCAGGATGTGAGGAAAAACATGAAGAAGAGATGGACTCGGAGAGAATCTACAAGGATTTCGTTCTTCGGGTTGGTCATAACTCATAATTGTTGATTCTTTTAGGTGTAAGTTGTCCAGGGATTCAGCATTTCTAATGTGATTATATCTATGAATACAGGTAATGGCAGCAAGAAGTCCCAATGTAAGGCTTCAAAAGGCACTAAATAGAAATGCTTCAAGGTATTGTAGTTTGTAGATCACCTAAAGTTGGTCTAAATTGTTTCACATTAACATTGATCTGATGTTCTGATCCCTGTTTACTTTGATAGAAACATGAAGTGCCCAATGTCAGTGCCCTCAAAATATTCGAAGCCCAGGGTGGTGTCAAGATTAGCAGTGGCTTCATCCATTTCCAGGAAATTGGGTTATGAGAAAGAGAAAGTTAAACCTCCTACAAATCCGATGTCTACTCCAAAGGCTAAAACAAAGCAAGTTGCAGCCAAATATCTTACCACTCCTAGGAGCAAAAAGTGCCTTCCGGATGCAAATTCATTTCGGAGTGTTCAGAATCCCAAACCTACCACTCTTGCAGTGCCAAAGAATCGGATGGTGGCAAAGGCTCTCGCGTTCTCCTCTCCAAAGAAAGCTATCAGTTTGAAGAAATCTGTTGAGCTGCGTATGCCTCTAACAAAGCTGTGTGAAGGGATGAAGAGGCTCGAGATAACAAGCCAAAAGAAGCGTTTATTAGGGCATTCTAACAGATCATTAAAGGATGCTGGACATACTCCATTAAAGTCAATGCCATTAGATAGTGCAGTAAAGGTTAAAACCTCCAAGAAGGATAATAGAGTGGCAAAGGTCCCTTCACAGTCCCAACCTCAAGCTGCTGAGAAAGTAAAGCCAGTCAAGTCTGTGAGGGGTAAGAAAGAATGCAACTTGAAGGAGAAAGTTGAAAACGAGCCCTGCAGCATGGAGGTCGAAGCAGAGAGTGATAAGCAAATAGATGCAAACCCATCCTCAGAGCCTCTATCCATGGCTCCAAGAGAGAAGCTGAATTTATCTAATGAAGGAAGTGAACAGGATACAGAAGAAAATTCAGAGAATGTAGAGAACTTTAAGAATCATTCTACTGAGACCCAACCCTCTGAAGTGCATTATCATGAAAATGCATCCACAGAAGGCGATGACAAAGAGAATGATGTATCTGCCGATGAAAACAGGTCTGAAACTATAGTCTTTATGCTCTCATAGCCTCCCTTTAGATATACATATCCATATAGTTTTGGATTATTTGTTAGCAAAATGCTGTGTGCTGATTTGGTTTATCTGAAATCTTACAGAACGGTAAATGATAACAACATCAAGACCAAAATTCTAGGCGAACAGACAAACACCATAAAAAAGGTACCCCCTTTCCTTTTCTTTAATTCATTCGATTTCATTTTGGTGAAAAAGCCCTGTTTTGCTTATTGATGTTAAACTGATAGCTAGAATTTGTATTGTCAACCAGATTATCAAACCAGCAGACAAGAATCTTTCAGTGCTGAAATTCAAGAAACCAAAGCCTACAAACCCAAAGCCTTTCAGGCTAAGAACTGATGTAAGCAAAGCAATGCTATTTCCACTTTAGATTTCTTTACTAGTGTCAGCATTCTTTTTTTAAAGCATCAGATAAATCTTGGGTTTTCAGGAAAGAAGCATTCTTAAGGAATCTAACTTTGAGAGGAAAGGTCAGCATCCAGACCCTCCCAGTGGAAATTTGATAAGAAAACATGGAGCAGACACTCATGTAATACTTGTTTCTTTCTACTATACTTGACAAAAGAGACCTTATATTAAATCTCTGCACTTGAATGTCTGACAACCGATATAATTCGTTATATCAGGGCAATGGGGAGTCTATAGAGCAACAAAATAGGGGTGCTGGTAGCAACTGCAAGGGCAAGGAATCATCAGACACCGATAGCAGTTTGACGGTAAGCAGCTATTCAAATTTTGAATAATGTAGTCTACCATTCTAAAATCTAATTCTACCAATAGTACTCACCACATTTAAAATTTTGCAGAAAGGGAGCAGAACAGCAGAAAGAACCAAGATGTCAAGAGACAAAGTAAGATCAAAGACAGTCACTATGACACCGAAAAGACCTAATGCTTCCCCATTCCAGGAAAGGGGTGAAAGATCAGCTACCAGGAAGGTCAAATCCCCCTTGGAGAAAAAACAAGCCGTGTTTCAAAGGTTAGTAAAGCAAAATGCTTATGTATACTGGACTTTCTTTTTCCTATAAATCATAAGATATCAATCAAACATTCAAACTAAGTCGCCCTTGTCAACTATTTTGCAGGCTTGCTTCAACAAAGATGACAATGGCATCACCTAGTCGAAATCTTGCAATGACAGATAAAAGTTCATCCTCACGGGGAAAAAGACGAGTGACTGTCCCAAAGGAGCCACACTTCCATACCACTTCCAAAAAGGTGCACTAGAAAGTTTACATAGACACAGCTTCTGCTGCATCTTTTAGGGTCGTCCTCAATGGCTAAAAGACGGGTGACTAATTCCACTCATGTTGTTGCACTAGAAAGGTTGACATGAGATTGTTGTTCAATTGATTATTGAATTGTGTAATGTTTAACTGCAATGACATTACACTATATTGTTTATTACTTTATATTGTTTGTGTGGCTGAGTTTTCCAGAAGTGTTGTAGGCATGTTTATATTTTTGTAACCAATTTGTACACAATCATGGTTTGTCATCTCTGTGTAATAATAGGATGGATGACCATTTCTTTCATCTGCTGTTTATCTTACATATAGGATTCATGAAATTCACTCCTCAAATAAGGCCCCTTAGAGCAAATCAATAAAAAACAAGATTTCTCGGCCATTCTACTATAACATATAATATATATAATACACATGAGCAAAATGATGTTCTTATTCAATAAAAACAAGATTTGTCCACCATTCTTCTATAACATATAATATATATATATATATATATATATATATATATATATATATATATATTCACTCTCTTTAGCTCTTTTAAGAGCATGATTAAAACCCAGAGAGAGTGTAAAATAAAAAGAAAAGAAAAGAAAAAAAAAAATTTACCTATACAATATGGCTTGGATTCTCAACTACTTCCTCTGGGGAATTTATAATGTGAATGGAATTGGAGGAGGATGAACAATGGGAGCTTTAGACATGCTTACATTGCCTGAGAGCATATTTGGTGTCATGGTGTTCTCTATAGTTATAGGATCAACCTGCACCACTCTCTCAGGTACAACTTTGTCCCCATCTACTTTGGCCAACACTTCAAAATGCATTCTCACAGACTCGGGCTTCGTCATCCACTCGGGAAAACTCTCCCAATTGAACCCTTTGTCCCCCTCTTTCAACATCTTCTCCAATCCGAAACCTATCTTCACGAAAGTCTGAGCAGATACATCTGCCCTCAGCAACTTGAAAGAACCCTTTTTATTTGCCTTAGGACCCAGCACAGATGAAAGCAAGGCCTCAAAACCAAGCAAGTTAGAATGTGAACTATTGACTGATACGAGTGGCCACAATGTAGTGAATTGAACGGGAGTTAAGAGGGCTGTGGACTCTTTCCGGAGATCAATGGTGGAGATGGCATCCATGGCCATGGGTTTCATTTTAGGCACTGACGATAGCTCTACTAGGCCGGGTGCCAGGCGCTTAAGTTTAAGCCTATTAGCTGAAGAGGGTGATGATGAAGTGGGCGATGTGAGAGATGTTGGGCCAACAATGCGGAGTGACAGCACAGGGCCACCTTCAGTGCGGGAAGCACGACGTAGATGTTCTGCCAGAGCTAACAAACCAGAGGCAAACCCATTCTGGGATCTATTAAACGGGAGTGGGAGCTCAACCGGATGTCGGAGACTTACAGATCTGGCACCCTTAACAGTGACCATTGCACCATCTGCTAACACCACTTTCTTCACTTTACCAGCATCCACATCATGCTGCATATTATTGAGAAACCGAAACCAAAACCAATCAGCAAGACAAGGAACAGGCCAACAACATAGCATGTATTTGGTCCTCTAAGAACTATCAAGGTAATATATAAAACATGAGAATGATAGGAAGAACTAGAGCTTCAACTTACAGGAAGTGAAAGCCTCATGTTCTCGGCATCCTGGATCCAAAGTTCCATAGGCCCTGCCAAAGTGAATGGAGCTAACACAGGAATCTCACTGTCCAATTTGTGCTTCTCCACCAGTCCATTTGCCTCTCCAGGCCTTGCAGGGTCCTGTACCCGGAAAATGGGCAAATCCACATACTCCCATCTATTCACATCCTCTAGAAGCTTCAAGGGAAGAACTTTATTATCAATCTCAACATCAAACTCATAAGCCACCGACCTTCCCACTAAGATGTCTCTCCAATCAAATCCAGATATCTTGAAATCCTCCTCCTTGAATCCCAACCCCTTTACAATTGCTTCCTTTAAATCCTATTTGAAAGGCAAACCGCAAAAGGAACACAAAAAGTTAGATAGTCCTGACTTCAATGTAATCTAATTTAAAGCCAATCCTATGTAATTCCACACTACAAGTGTCATCATTACAAATTCTAGAATCCGGAAAGAGTTAATAATATTTTCATGTCTTTATCCTAACACGCTTTCAATTTATTTCATTCTACAATTTTTTTTTAGTCTGTGTGGAGAATTCGCTGTTAAGGTCATGAACTTGAACCAATTTTTGGCTGTTCAGTGTTCAACCAGTTCGATCATAAGAATCATTAGAAACTATCATTTTTCAAATACTAATTTGACTAAGAATCGCATAATAAAACGCATACGACGACAACAGCTAAACGTAATCCAGAAACAACTAAACCAGCTTGCAAAAATTCCAACTCTAGCCGAAACACATCAGATATGGGATGTTTTCCTCAACAGTTTGCTGTTTCTGAGATATTTCTACGCGAAAATCAATGACAATAAGAGGAGAGAGAAGGAGAAAGCAAGATAAATCTTACAGATATGGCTTTAGGGTAAGGAGGATTGGCATCCTGGCCGGCGATCAAAGCTTCCGACGCCGGAAAAGGAATCGCGATCAGAACCAAACAAATAGCTGCGAAGCTAACCCATCGAATCCTCGTCGGAGCCATGCGGCCGGAGAACTTAACGCGCTACGGAATTCCAGAACGCAGGGGATGAGAGAGAGAGAGAGAGAGAGAGAGAGAGAGAGATCGTAAAGAGAAATGAGAAATATATTGGCGGAATTTCGCAGTGCGAAATATAATGGGGAGAGACTTTACCGACGAAGGAGGATGGAAAATTTGTTGGAGATGTGTGGCGGCGGGGACTCCAGAACACCGCTGACGTGGACGCCGCTAACCAATGGGAAGCGAGAGAGTGATGCGGGTGATGTCATATAATTGAGTTATTGGATGGAGTGACGTGTCCGGTCGGGTAAACCACTGTATTTTCATTTCCATTATATTATTGTTACAGGTACTGCTTGTGGGCCCCCACTTTATCCGTGTTTCTAGCATTAATTTATGGAGAAACGATGGCCTTGCCGAAAACGATCTCAAGAACGGCGTCGTATTATTGTGAGCAGTCTTGTACGTAAAACATCAGAAAAAGTGGCGTCGCCCGGAGACCTTCAGTGTGTTAGACTGACGTGATAACCAACTACACCACGACACCATTTTGTCCACTCTGTCGCATTTATCGTTACTTATAATTGGAAACATGGCAAGGAATAATAGCAATTGTTACGACGTTATTTGGTAACTACTAGTTTATATCTTTTTGTGACCCTCCAAAATATACCTTTAAATAGTGACATTATTTTTTTTTAGAGTATATTAAGGAGACTATCTTGTGACTAGCTAACAAATGATCACAAAGAGATAAACCAACCTAAGTTGAACCAACCTAAGTTGATTATAGTTGGTCAATTTAAATAAAGAAAACTAATAAGCCGTTCTTACTGGAAGTCAAACTTAAAACTTTTTTTTTTTTTTTTAGTACTATTGACTCTACTACAATGTATTATCTGTTCTATACTTTTCCTAACTACTGCAGCTCAAAGAGTCAATACATTACCACCGAAATTCGATCTAGGGGAGTCACAAAAGTACAGCACAAGGTGCTTTGCTAAAACTTTGTTACTAAGCCAACAACTTGATCAACTTAAGCCAAACCTATCTTCTTATTCTGAATTGGCAATACATAATTTTGGGCAGATTATTATATCAAGTAACAATACACATCTGTGCAGAACACCCTACATTATATTCCATCTTCCATTTTTCATCATTCAAGTCAAGGTATACAAAATTACAAATGGGAGAGAGCCAGAGAAGAATCACTTGAAGAATAGAACTGTATTACACACAGCAAAGTGGCAATGGGCATTTGTATCTTCTAAAGGTAATTTCTATGTGCAACCATATCTTCACTGCTACCTGACAGCCTGCGGCAATGGTGGCCACGCAATCTCGTTGTCGTTGGTGTAGCCGTGGATTAGGAAATCCGAGCAGTTCTTCAGACATCCATAGTTATAGGGGTTGCGAAACCGACCATCTGGACCATGAAGATACCCATACCGACGAGCATTAGCCTGTTCGTTGGTTGTTATATTCCGACCAATCTGGAAATGGAAGAAAGAAAGAAAAATAAAATGAACGAAAACGATAGAAATCAGTAATATTTCCTTTACTGCTACAAAGAGATGATCAGTTACCTGGTATGTTTGGACAGCGAACAAAGTAAAAGCAGCAATGAAAATAACCGCATCCATAAAGAGAAAAGCAAATAAACCAGGATGCTCAGAAACCACACGATGCAGCCATGATCCATCGTCTCCTGATGCCAGTACTGGGATCCAGATTCCTGCAACAATGGATTAGGTTGTAAGCTCGCTAAACCTTAAAATGACTTTTGAACTTTGTGAGTACTATGCGTTAGTTGTTTTTACGTACTATGAACTGCGACTACAGCCCCGATTAGTGATGTCAGAGTACCCATGCAGAGGAAAATGAAGAAGTCTCGCTTATTCCTCTGCAAAGTTCAGTTAAAACAAGAATGAAGCAGTAGTTATGGAGCTGCGGGTATGGAGTAAACAAGAATAATATATTGGTAAAAAGTAAAAGATTTACAACTAGCAACACACATATTAGTACTTATACGGGAACCAATTATAGTCATAATATGGAAATGCGAGCAGCAGAATCGCGCAAAAATCTTTCAGAAAGCAATGGCAGAACCATGGATTTCACTTGTGTATTTCTCTGAACAAATTTCATAGAGGCAACATATTGCATAACCCAAAAGGAACCTCGAAATATATGTTAGATTGAAAAAGGCTTAACATCATTCTTGTGCATTTATATATGCAATTAGCGAAGGGAATAAATTCTATGGATAAGCAACTCGTATAGGTTTTACAAAAGGATATTGCCAAAAGAAAAGAATGTGGTTTATACCTTTCCCACGCAATTTGATATCCAGGGGCAGTGATGGTCAAACTGTTCCACACAGCGGTTGCATGTAGTGCAGTGTTTGGACCGAAGTGGTCTTATTATCTTCAATGAAAGAATTTAATAAACATTAGCAAAACATATGAGATAAGGATGGCTATGCAAGTCTGCATTGCAAGACAAAGGCATAACCCCAAGCAGCAGAAAATGCATTTCATATAAATAAATACTAAGACGATGAGAAACCTTGCAGGTGGGGCAGAGTTGAGACCAATTCCCAATCCAAATGGACGAGTTACTCAGATCAATATTCAACAAAGGATCCTGGAAAAGTTTAGCAACCCCGTCAATTCTATAAGTACCACAAAGGAAATTTGAAAATTTCCAACTTTAGAGGGGAGATTGAGTACCTCTGAATCAGAATGTTTACTGGTTCCCGTCTTAATATAACCTGGATCTTTACTGCAAGCAACAGACAATAACCATTAGTATCAGAAACAGAATTTAGAAGCTAAATGCAGCATCCTATGTAGATTCCACAGGCACATATTATGGTTTCTGAGAACCAACCTCAAACAAAAAAACTAAGATAGCTTTATATTTTAAAAACCAACAACAAAAAAAAAAAAAAATCATTTTCATCAAACAAAACAGCTACCTAGTACAACGAACGAGCATTAAGAGAGCTGCAACTCCCATGGAAACACCAATCCATCCCCAAAGTGCAACAACAGCTGTGGCCTTTGGAAGATTAGGAGCTAGCACAAGCAACAGTAAAGCAATAATTAGCATGCCAATTGATGGTATAAAAAATTAACATACCATGAATTGTAGATCACCTACCAACGATAACAGAACCGATGAAAAGAATGATATTAATTGCAACTACACTGAATAAAATGGGGGCATAACCATTATCGCCTCCTATTCGTGAACAACAATTGCCTTTCCCTCGCTTGCTCTGTGTGCGTTCTACATTAGTCTGCACAGGATCGAATAATCAATGGCTATGGTGACGAGGCACTAAGTCCTCGAAATACTTCACAGATATAAGCCATGTAGCTACTTGTAGAACAGAATTAAACTCAATGCTTAATTAAGAGTTAAACCCATTTTTGGACCACAACTTCCTCACTGCTCCCACAACTTTCGATTTGGACAAACGCAGCTCATAGACTATTAAGATGAACCAATTATAGTCCTCAGCTTCCCATTGAGCCAAATGTTAAAAATGGATAGAAAAGGTCATGTGTTACATGTGCCAAAAATTTGAGGAAAAAGTAGACATTTCCATTACTCAACCACCACCAACCAATCAAAAGGAGAAGAAAAAAAAAACAAGGAAAATATAGAGAAGGGCATGGCCGCCAGAAAGTGGCTAGGACAATATAGAATATAGATAGGGTTCTCAATCTAGCTGACATTGTTCAACATAATCCTTTAAAAAATAAAATAAAATAAACTAATTTGATTGATGATGGTGAAGCAACATAAATGTTTACTTTGCCCTCAAAATTTAGGAACATAGATGACTTTTTACATACATTTATAACATTTGGGTTAAAAGCAAGACCAGAATCAGTCAATTTTTATAATCCACTGACCACATTTAGCCAAATTGAAATTCATGGGAGCAATGTGGAAGTGCCACTATGTTTGTGGGACCAAAAAACGGTTTTTTAACTTCTCAAGATATCATCTTAAATAGCAATCAGTACTTAATTGAATTTCAATATGAAAAGTTTGAAAACCCAATTAAATCTTCACAGCCAAAGAGGGGAAGAGGAAAAGATGCCAATTGAAAATAAATTATTCATATTTGAGCAGATGTTGGCAATTCAAGTTCCAATTTGGCTTAGTAAAATTTTACACAGTAATTTTACATTTCACTGGAAATTTTGGTTTTGACTAATGAAACGAATGAGTTAACAGAAGAAAAAAATAATCAGTGAAAACACAAAGAAAGAAAATATCGGCCTCTTCTGCACAATAACATTCCAAATGGACCTCCATTTCTCAAGTTTAACGGCAAGAATGTGCATGAAAATATTTGTAGATAATAACAATAAAATTGACGTACAAGTAAAAGGGCGATGTGCCGATAACCTTTGTCAGATGCAATTTTTGCCGGTGTACATCCAGTTTTATCTTTTACTGCCAATTCCTGTTTCGTACCCGCGTGTACAAGTACATTGCATGCCTCTATATTTCCTCTTAATACAGCCCAATGCAAGGGGGTGCATCCTGCAACATTTAAAAATTCTAAATGAATTTGTTGCAAAAAACTCTTTTGCAGATCTTCTTGTATGGATTGTCCTATTCACAAGTTATTATGTTATCTTCAATTACAAAGAAGCTCGAACAAAACCATAGTATAAAAGAAGGATGTTCATAGGATAGGTATAATAAGAATGAAAACCAATCACTACAGGATATAAAATAAAAACCACTTATTTCATATTCTAGATGCGGCTTAGTATGCTAACAAACTTAAATGTAGCATCTTATTGTTGCACTATTCCATCAAAGCATCACAAATTGGTAAAAATAAATTTGAAAAAGCAAGTCAATAGAAATAGTTAAACCACTATAAGAAATTTCAGCCACTAAAATGTACAAACAGTAAGATCCAGAGCTAGCATACCATCTTTATCTTGTCTGACTTGGGAGGCATCTCTGAACAGAAGTAACCGAACTGTATCAGTAAATCCCTTGTATGCAGCCCTGGTCAAAATTTGAAAAACCAGGATAAGGCTACATATTTAAGTATTTACTGGAAAGACCTTAATGTAATTTGGTTCTTGATTATACAAAAGCAACAGTAGAAACTTTCTAGCCACACTGACTAGGCAATCCCATTTCTATGTTCACACTCATTATAGTTATAAATAAAACTCGATACATCAAACAACTAGAGGATGAGAAAATCAACGCCCGTTACAATAGGGTACAAATTGAAGCAGGGTAAAGAAGTACACAATAATAAATGATCAGAAATGAGAATACTACTCTAAAGTAAAGAAGGCGTGCTCAAAATATAACAGAAGAATGTGGTTATAAAGATACCAGTGAAGAGGGCTCCTTCCATCGTTATCCGGTACATCAAAGTCAGCAAGATACTTTGTGACTATGTGATAAAGAAAAGTTGTTTGTCCATACTGAGCAGCTATGTGAACTGCCTGTAGTGTACAAAAAGCAAGCAAAACAGTAGGGTTTGAAATCACAATCACTCCAAGCAATCAAATCAGAGTAAAAAAAAAAACCACTTTTTCCCCAATCTCAACAGCATTTTACTGAATTTTACCCTATAGCCATTAACATCAGCTGCCTCAACCCGTGCCCCATTCTGCAACAAAATATCTGCCGCAGCAATCGAACCACGAACAGCAGACCAATGCAAGGCAGTCTGCCCGGTATGATCCTTAGCGTTCACATCACCTCCATGCTTCAAAATCCACAGAACATTCGAATTACGGCGTCAAAACTCTTCCTTACACTTCACTTAACATGCAATTTACGCATTAAATGCTAATATTACCTCAATTATATACTGCACGATGTCGGCGAAGTTGTTGAGAGCAGCCCACTGAAGGGGATAGTAGCCATTCCCGTCCGGGTGAGATAGGGAAGCGCCGTCGTGCTCGACGAAGTTCCGGAGCTTCTGTAAGTCTCCATAGGCAGAAGCGGAGTGCACATCGAACACGACTACTTCGCTAGGGTTTTGTTGGGCGGGGCTCTTCTGATCGTTGGGGTCCGACACAACCTCGATTTCAGAAGCCATTTCTTGCACTTGTAAATATGGTAGCGCCTTCTCCGGAGAGATTAGGGTTCTGTCCGGAATTGTCGAAACTCTGAAGTGTACGAGATTATCGGATTACCATGTGATTCAAGTCTCAGATCTTAAGCACAGATTTCGATGTTTCATGTCCTTTATAGCATCCGCATTGACTTCAACGCCAAGATTCTTATGTAGACTGTAGCCTGCAGTCTGTAATCTGATCAAATCCTGAAACACAATTATTTATTTATCCAAATTCTATTATTAGTATACTTTCCAAACTTAATAAAATTACATTTTTTTCTTTGTGATTTAGTAATTATAAAGTTACAAATTTGAGTCCAAATACGAACAACTTATTAAATATTTTAGTTTAAAGTTTAAATTGTCTAATTATGAACAACTTAAGCTGACTTATCTCTTTGTGATTTTTCGTTGGCTAAGATCACAAAAAAAAAAAAAAAAAAGAATTTATCCTGTGTCCCGTATTGAAAAAGATACTAGGCGCTTGATTTTTTTTAATTTAAAAAAAAAAACCAAAAATTTTAATACCTAATTATTACCTAAAAGTCTAAAACACATTTATATAATTATAATTGATTAGTTTAACCACTAATTATAATAAAAGCGGTTTTATTTTTTAGGGGTTATTCGTCAAAACGACGTCGTTTTGGAAAATAACCCTAAAAAAATCGACTTGGGACGTTTCAGCCACCTAGACGGCCAGTCACGGAGGAGGCCGATTCAGGCATTTCTCAACGCGACTGGGCACCGCCTAGCGCGTAGGTACAATTTTTACAATAAAGTCTTTGTCACAACACACTCTCAAGTAGTGACTACGAATTTCACACATCACTCATTTTCTGGTAAGCAAAACCGTTATTACAATAAAACTAATTTGAACCTATGATTTTTAGTCGGAAAAAATCTGATTTAAAACTCTTTAACATAAAGTGCCTTCTTTCAACAATGGATCCAACACAAATTAATCGAATAAGAGGTAATGATTAGGGGTGTAAACGAGCCGAGCCGAGCCCGAGCCTGGGTATGCTCATGCTCGTGCTCGTTAATGATAACACTGCTCGAGCTCGAGCTCGAGCTCGTTCGAGCTCGTGAACTGATGCTCGAACTTGAGCTCGGCAATTGTCGAGCTGCTCGAGCTCGAGCTCGAATTCGAGCCTGAACTCGAGCTCGAGTTTAGGCTCGAATTTGAGATCGAGTTTAGGCTTGAATTTGAGTTTAGTTTTGATCTCAAATTTGACCTATTTGATTTAAAATTTAAAGTACTTTTTTTATGACTTTTATCCATACATAATTATTAAAGTATTTTAATTTCTCTCCCTAATTATTATTTTCATATACTAAATATAATATAATTATATTATATATTATATATTATATAATATATTATAAAGCTCGCGATCGGCTCATCGAGCCGCGAGCCTACAATACCTAAGCTCGCTCGTGCTCGTTTAATCCACGAGCTGCTCGAGCTCGAGCCGAGCTCGATTTTGACCGAGTTCGAGCCGAGCGTTGACCGAACCGCTCACGAGCGATTCGCGAGCGGCTCGGCTCATTTACACCCCTAGTAATGATACATATAGCATTATCATTTCTTTAGAGTACTTTTGGGAACTTGGTAAAAAATGAGAATTTCATAAAGAAAGAAAATAATGATACAGATGGGGATCATGGGGGTTATGTTCAAAAACACTGAAACAGTAAAGGTAAGAAACGGCAGGCTTCTTCAACCATAAGAAATGGTAGGGCTCTTCCAGAGAATATTGAAGCACCTTTGCAGTGGGCAGAAGCAATGTGGTTTGAGTTCACTGAAAGATCAGCTGTATAGTCTTCGTAAAAAAAAACTCGAAATTGTAGATCTATGCAGTTACCACCCTGTCTCCACGCTATAACGAATTTGTTGTGCCAATATATCGACCCAAGTGTCTGGAACGCCTGGCAGGCACCAGTGCATACAGTCCTGGCCCCAAACGGCGACTGCATCCTTCTTTCCCAACCAAATTGCGGGATGGGCATCTGCCCGGAGCTCACTCAAGTGAGTGAGATCAAGTATTCTGATACTCGAGCCTTCTATTGCCTCCTTAATGACACCGTTAAGCTTTCTTGCTTCCTTGTTCACTCCATTGTTTCTGGGATCAAACCACAAGTCAAGCTGTTTAGGTATCAGTATAGATCCTTCCATGGGAGCCGCTGTTTCACACAATTCTATTTGTGATTCATAATAAGCCTCACCGAGAAACTTTGATCTCCGGGGAAATTGTTCAAACTAACTTTTATCTAGTCATGAACTAAAATAAACAAAACAAAAAACAAAAAAAAATAAAAAAATAAAATAAAATAAAATAAATAAATAAAAAAGGTTAAGGGGGTGTTTGGTAAATAGTTGTTAGCTGATTGGGTTAGTGGGTTTGACTAGTTGATAACATTAGCTGATTATAGAAAGATGTTTGGTAAATTAGCTGTTAGCTGATTACATACAAAATGACTTTCTCAAAAAACTGATCGAAAAAGTTGCTTTGAGCAACTTTTTTGAATTTTAATGTTTTGGAGTAATAAGTTGTTACAAAAAGCTAATTAATCAAACACTCATATTAATTGTTTAACCAAGTCAAACAGCTAATAATGGTCAAATAAGCCAAAATTAGCGGATAGGCTAACTATTTTACCAAACAGGGCCTAAGAGTTTCGTGTTGAACTTTTGCAAATTGATGCTTTAATTGAAAATGGGGATGAATGCATAGGAAATATCTAAACTTCTCGATATTTCAATCTCCAAAGGGGACATAAGATTAAAATGAACCAAAAGGAAAAGAGAATCGTTTAGGTAAGATACTAAGATGTTTACCGTAGCATACCTGAGATTCATCAAGTGGCTCGCTGAAAACACAACTACCATTTTGGTTCCAATCACCTCCATGGAAATGCCTCGGAGATTGCAAACGCCAGAACTTAAGTGTCTTCGGGAACTGTTTTTCTATATGAGCAACCATATTCTCTAGGACAACCTTAAACCCATCTAACATTTCCAAGGGAGGTTGTATAGGCTGACCTGCCTTGTAAAATACAAGAGGTGTCTCTTTTGGAAATTTGTCGTAGCCCCACCTAGTAGACACAAGGGATAAGAAGCAATAGTTACAGAGAAATAGTCTGTAGACAGTAGTATCCATATAGTAAGTATTTAAAATACAAACCAAAAATTGAAAAGGGCATAATGACACCAAAAATAAATGCAGAATATGAACAGCCCATACAAATCAAATCCCTTCGGTCATTTAATTCCCTTCTCCAATGCTGTCCCGCGCCCCCCTTTTTCACTCTCCCTCTCTCTCACCGAAAGCCAATGGAGCATGGATTATGCATGGATAACTCATTCCTGGGAATGCTATTCCCAGGAATAAAAGGACAAGACAAACAATGGAATAGGTCTATTCCCGGAAATGGTATTCCATTCCCAACCTATTCCATGAACCAAACATGCTAGTATAGTTGTAGGTACTCTCTTGGCCTATAAAAGCAAATTACAAGTTCCTAGGAACTAACTGCTATGCTAAATCCTTGCTGCTAGCCCGAAGCCTCATAGTAGTCGAGTTATTCAAAAGGAAGAACAGAATCCACACAGTTTATTATTACCAAGCCCAACATCATCCAGATGCCACGAGATCAAATAAAGAGAGACACAGTGAAACAATTCCATGCCGCTTGAAAGCAAAAATACAATTTCCTACCTTCTAAGCAAGATATCTTCCCTACCAGATAAATTACATTCCCAGCATACAAATACAATGCATTCTTTGGATCACTAAAGAGACCCTATCCCTAAGCTTTGGGCAAAAAACACCTACATAAACTGGAGAGGAACTAGGGAAGCAAATCAACGATTTCAACAATCGAAACAGAGAATAACTATAAACCAATTGAGTAAAAGCAAGATTGATGGAACAGGAGGTTACCAATGACCAGTGTTAAAAACTAGCACATCATAAAAGCCAGCAATGTGTGCCCAATCATCTGCTGGAACATCAACATCGACCCGATATGATCCCTTTTCAGTTGAAGAACCAGGCTCTCTTGTCTGCCTACTTAAATCACCAAGGTTACATCTTCAAAGTAAGTTCAATGAATGCAGGTATTGAATCTTATTAAAAGTCAAGAATTTTTAAAAAAAACTCAGTTACATACACATATTCTGCAAGCAAGACGGCACGATGATAGCCAACAGTGACATTAAATTTGGGGAAAAATGCCCCTCTCCAAGCCCCTTTTCTCTTCCACTTCTTAGCACCCATATCCGCCACTCTAAGTATACACAGAAAAGAAACCAAGAAATTCTCATTCAAAGAGTCCCCCACAAACCCAATATTCCTATTCCTCATCAGACCCAAGAACCCAGATGGGTCGACCCGAGCCAATTCGCAGTCTTCGGGCACCCACCTCCACGAATTGATCCGACCCATATTCTCCCTCTCGTTTCTGAGGCAGTTCCAAGCGTTTCTGTGGAACGGGCAGTTGTCGTCGTACATGGGCTTCCGAGCCGGGTCGAACACCCATTGACCCTTGAAGAGATTGCACGAGGATGAAATCGAGAGTTTAGGCTTTGAATACTGCGAGGAGGATGGGGATGAGGGAGTGTAAAGAGGAAGGAATGTAGAGTAGAGGATGAGGAGCATAAAAGCTGGAAGAAAAAGCCATGTGAAGAGCTTTGGGTTTAGCTTAGAGGCCATTCTCAATCACATTAATGGAGTTGAACAAAATCTACGCGGATCAACAGATGAAGGTAAGAAGGGTGAGCTCTCGATTTGCAACACATTTCACTTTTAAATTCTTACCAATTGTGCCAAGCACAAAATTGTGAAGAGTTAAATCCAATAAAACTATCTAGAAATCTAGAATATTGATTTTTTTTTTCACATTTTATTTTCAATTTTTAAATCAAACTTATGAGACCATTTACATTTTTTTTTTAATAGGGCAATGGCCCCTCACACTCTGATCTGAAAGAGCATTTGGAATGATGTAAGGAATTTATCCACTTTGGTCTTACTCTCTACAGCACTGCTGTCGAAATTCGAATCTTGATCTCTTCTCTCAACTGTTACTTGCTGAACCAATGAGTTAAGCCTCTGTGTATAAATTATTATCTTTATAATTGTATTAGTCGTCCGCTTATCAATTGTCAAAAATTAAAGAGTAAATACCCAAAATGGTCCCTCGACTATAGCTAAATTCACAAATTGGTCCTCGACTTTTAATTTTAACTAATTAAGTCCTTAACTTTACAATTTTAACACGATTTGGTCCTCCGTCTATTTGACCATTTGTTAACTGTGATTTTTTAGAATATATATGTAATTTCATGGTCCATTGTCGGTTTTTAAGGTTCCGGTTGCATTTTCAAACCGCACTATTACATTTGAATCCACAGCCGAAAGCAATCTACCAAATCCTGTCACCTTTCTTCATCCCCTCTTTGGATTCAATGTAGTTGAGTTCGTACCTGAGCGAAGAATTAAGAAAAGTGGGGTGTTACATGGGCGATAGACTGTGTCACGACAGCGGATGAGGGCGGACGGCAATGAAATTACATATATATATCCTCAGAGATCACGGTCAACAAACAGTCAAATAGACGGAGGACCCAATCGTGTTAAAATTGCAAAGTTAAGGACTTAATTGGTTAAAATTAAAGGTCGGGGATCAATTTGTGAATTTAGCTATAATTGAGGGATCATTTTAAGTATTTACTCAAAATTAAATGATCTTCAACTTTGTAATTGCATTCTTTCACTATACATCCCCTATTCTCCTTTACATTAAAGTTATAGAATCTAACTACTCTTAATTAGGAAATTTGATTGCATTAAATTAAACTAATTAATAAAGTTTTTGAGAAGTTGTGAACTTTACCTTCGAATTTTAGTAGCATAGCAGACTAATATAATAGATCTAATAATTGGTGATTGAATTTGACTTATATTTTAATAGTTGAGAATTAAATGTATTTATTTTTAAGTAAAAAACATAATACAAAATGCAACCGTGTCAAGTGAAGTGGTACAAACCCAGTGCAGGGTGCAACGTTTGATTTCACTAACGATAGGATGGGCTTAATTAGGCTGTGTGATAAGAAACGAAGCTGTTGAATCTGTAGCACCTAAGTGCGTAACTTGGAGCTGAGGGGAGACTTTTGGTCAAAGAAGTTGAAGCACTGGGGATAAGGGCGGGAAGCTCTCACTTGAGCAGATTCATGTGGAAACGAATGCCAAACAGCTCATCCATGAGCTTTGTTCATTGTCATTTTGCACTCCTTCAGCCATTTTTATTGATAATATCAAAGATTTTACTAACAAATATCTCTAATGCATGTCAATTTATCTTTTGTTAAGCATTTAGCAAACATAGTAGCTCATGTACTTGTTAAGATAACGTGTTCCTTGTCTCAATGTATTGTTTGGTGTGACGTTCTGCCTCCTATCATTTAGATAGTTTGAGACTTGATATGAATTGATTAATGGATTTCCTTTTTCAAAAAATTAAAAATAAAAATTGCCAATTCGAAGTTTTTTATTCTCATACATTATTTAGGTTACTCAAAAAAAGTACACTCAAAGGGATATAAACATGGTAAGAGTCTAACAAGAACATCTCCAACAACTTTGATTTTTTCCCACATAAGACGAGGAGAGGGAAAAAAAAAAAAAGGAAAAAAGTAAAAGAAAAAAAATCACCATTATGAATTATGCGCCCAACAAGCACATGTAGTGCTGGTGCATAAAACGCACACCGATGCAGACAAATCTCATCTTTAATGGCTCTTTTTGAGTTTATAATGATTAGAACCACCTCAAGTGAGATTCATCTCACCCAAAAGAACTATGATATTAGTTTAAACAATACAAAACATATATATGTAAAATTATAAGAATCTCTCAAGCAAGACAAATCTCATTTAAAGCAACTCTCCTCGAGTTTTGATTGGTTAATTATCCAATCAATAATTCCCAATTAGATAATTGATCAATCAAGAAAAGTCACTTTAAGCGGAATTTGTATCGCTTGAGAGACTCTTAAAAAAAATAGTTATTGATGTTAATATTAATACAAAGAAAAACCATTAATGATATTATGAATATACAAAGAATGTTATTCATGCCACCCTTACTAGTCTTTCACATCCAAAGTTGCTCATATCAATTGAGTATCATCATTGTCTCTCTATATAATTTATTGTTGAACAATCATACTTGACGAAAAAGATACAAGAAAATGTCGAGTTTAGTTCCCTTTCAATATATCATAGAATTGCAATGGCTTTTTCTTGGGTGCTGAACAATTCTCCTGAAAGATAAAAGCATATATTTTTATGTCAGTTTTTTTTAGTACTACTGACTCTGTTACGATGTAGTATATGTTCATAGTTATTTTCTCGACCGGTTGAACCACAAAAAGTTATTTTCTCAATCTGCTGAAGCACAAAGAGTCAATACCGCCCCGACTGGGACTCAAACCCATGACCTCTCATTTGAGAGTCTTTCATGCCACTAGACCACAAGTCACTGAGCCAACTAAGCCTTATTGTCTCAACATCAACGTTATTTTTTTTTCTTTTTTTTCTTTTTCTAGTGACAAGAGAAACCTAAGTCACTATTTAAAGGTGTGAATTTGGTAAAATTCACTTTTGCGTAATAGTTTGTAAATTACACAGAAGAAGTAAACCGTACTAAAAAAGCACCGTGCAATGGGTTCGACCAAGAAAGTATTAGCAAGAATCAAATTCATAACTTTTAAATACCAATGTTATCTTTCGTAGAATGGTTGACTATGAGCTCATATAATGTCCAAGGGACTAAAAGACTATGGGGTGTTTGGTAAATAGTTGTTAACTGTTTGAGTTAGTGAGTTTGATTAGTTGATAGCATTAGCTGATTGTAGAAAGATATTTGGTAAATTAGCTGTTAGCTGATAAGCTAATTACATGTAAAATGACTTCTTCAAAAAGTTGATCAAAAAAGTTGTTTTTAGCAACTTTTTGAATTTTAATTTTTTGGTGCAATAAGTTATTACAAAAAGCTAATTAATTAAACATTCATATTGATTGTTTAATCAAGTCAAGCAGCAAATAATGGTCAAACAAGCTAAAATTGGTTGATAAGCAAACTATATTACCAAACAGGGCGTATATATATATTCATGTAGTTATTGGGATGAAATTCATACCTCTATTGCAGCTGCCAAACGTAAAATGGAAGCTTCACACCATGGCCGGCCGATAAGTTGGATACCTATGGGCAGTCCTTGCTTGTCGTAGCCAACCTGGAAATTAACAATTTCACATTGCTAGCAAAGTTGTCGGCCCAATGTTTGTATAAATATAAGATTTCTATACAATTCAAGACACAGAAAGGCAATCGGTAGGCTGGCTACAGATATTTGTCTATTGTACTTTATGAATGCTTGTAGAATTAATTTCACTGAACTCTCAAATGTTATGTGCTATATCACTTACAGGTACAGAAATTGCTGGAAGCCCCAGAAGATTTCCTGCTAGAATAAAACGCATGAGATTTCCTGAAAAAAGTATGCATTAATAATAGTTAGCCTACATAAAAACTACATGTATCATGAAGGGGAATGCATTAAACTTCCAAATTCCGAAGAGCTTGACCACTATTTTGTTTCAGCCTTGACGGGTAAAGCAATGCTTCTTATTACATCATTTAGGCACTAGACTATTAACAGGGAACCAAATTAAACCTGGAAGTAGACAGGAAAAACCAACCTGAGACTTGCATATTTGTCTCTCCATCTGAAAGAGCACTTGGTGGTATTATGGGTGCTGTCATGCTAAAGAAAGGAATGTACACTTAGAGAGAGTTTGTTTGAGGGGGCAGACAGACAATATTCATCGCAACAAGCAACTAATGAATCTGGCAAGAAAAAGATCTAGTTCCAAACATTATCACCGATGCTCAAGTGTGCTAACATACCCAGTAGTAGGAGTTACAATGACATCCACGTTCTTAAATATCTCCATGTGGTAGTACATTATCCTTCTCCTGCAGTAAAAATATCCAGAACAGATCTATTGTGTTCATTTTCCTTTTAATCAAATAATGAAAACTGTGCTTGTAAGTTTAGCCTAATAAGTAAAAGCACAAGATCAGAACAAATAAAAATAAGGACCAAGTTTGACCAATTTGAATCCAACTAAGCAACTCTAAACTATACAGAAAAAGCACAATGTTTTTCTCTTCTGCATTTGTATTCTTATGCTTTCTGCTTAATGTTATTAAGGCAGCATTTGGTACTGAACAGCCAGTTAAATTATGCCTTACCTGAGGCACTGAGCAGCAACATAGTCTGATGCTGAGAATGACCGAAAAAATGCCAGATTGGTGCGAGTATCATATGTCAATCTTACTCCTTTCCTAGTCAAAAGAACAGAGAAAGAGCAGTCCATGGGAGCCCAACATTTAGATAATCATAATCGGGAAACACATGTTGAAGTACAAGATACTGAAATTTAAATCACACTTAAAGGCAGGTAGATAAATAGATAAAAGTAACAGGTTGAATGAGCATACCCATCCTCAACTTTAGGATTCAATGAACACAGTGATTCAGAGCCTATGGAAACAATATGAGCAGTCCGCATCTCATGTAGCTCTGGTATCGCAATCTCTATTGTCTTGAACAAAGCCAAAACAAAACTCAAATTGGAAAATAGCATGCAATTCTTTTTCATTCCATTACAAACAAGTAATAAGTGCACATTTGCATAAAGATTTACAATAACAGCCTCTAAAAGTAGAAGCTACAAGCAATGGACTTACTTTGCTCCCATACTTTTTTGATAGTTGATTTAGAACATCATTGCATTTGTCAGATATTTCAGTTGAGAAAACATCATTAAACCACTGAAGCACAAAACCAAAGCAAATTAAACTGTGTATTGAAATGATCATATGAAAATACTTGTAAAACCATATTCAGAACAAAAGAACATATATTTACCTCTGTATACTTTCCTAACCGCAATGATCCTAGAACATCCAAACTTTCATTTGAAGATAAGGTAGGTATACAAGGGAGGGCCTGATGGAAAAAAAAAAAAAAAAAAAAAAAGAATGATAGCATGACATGGTTAATTGTTGATTTAATTTTAAAATCAAGTATAGAGATATGGCTAGTGCAAATACACATAGCAAAAAATATAGTATAGTGTCATTAATTCATAAAACAATCTTAAGTAGGAAATGTGAGAGATTATGCTGCATTTTGGTAAAAGGCACATGAAACGAAATACTACACAATCAACATGACCAAGTCTAAAGTTATCAAAATGCTGATAATTGGATTATCAGCTCACGAACAGACTAGGCATTTACACTCTGGGGTAACCCATGGTATAACTGACAAAAAGTCGCAACTTTATAGTTCATCTGGAAAGTCAGAATAAGGATACACTGAATAATGTAGCCCTACCAAGCTTGAAAACTAAAGTCATTCAAGTATTCATTTTTGTTCTCATAAATATTACCACTGGAATTCTGAAGCAGTGGAAGGATGAAACTTCGCAAGTTCTTTGAATATTAAAATCAGTGATGCCAGAAAATTAAGACATTGTCAAATTACCGTTAGAATTAGATTGAAAGAAAGAAAAAGATGTATCACCATGAAGCAAAAGGCAGATGATTGATTTAAATATTTTCTAGGTGATTACCGGTTTTAAAGAAATTCTATTGGCAGGAGAGGATCCTAAAATTGCTGCATACCTGACAAATGGATAGTACTGTTAGTAGAAGAGATCACAATCCCTATTTAATGAAATAAAAAGTAAATATAGTAATGATTTCTCTAGCAACTAAACATGTAAATAGAAAAGTATTAAATGGAGAAAAGGATCAGATTTATTTTAGAAAATAGAAAAATATAAGTAATGCATTGTCTGTGAGTAAGGACAGGATCAGATGCAGCACACATAATATTGAAAATAACTCAGAACCAGCATGATCAGCTTACACAAGTATGGCATCTTCAACAGTTGCTGTGATAGGTCCAATGATCTCCACAGTCCCAGAGTCACATAATGACCTAAAAGAAAGAAAGAAAGAAAGAAAATAAATAAATAAATAAATATATATATATATATATATATATATATATATTTCAGAGACTCGAAGATGAAATATATTTCAACCTCAAAAAGGTTTCCTTTTTCTTTATAATAAATTTCTTTTGATGATGAAGATGTCTATCATGAAAGGAATTGATTAATGTTTATTTCTGCAGAGAACAATTGTATCATCAAATCTAATCTATCAAGTAGAACTAAAAAATACCGCATTCCTTTTCTTCAATCCAACAGGATAAGTACAACCCAACTCAACTAAACCTTAGTTCCAATCTCGTTAGGCAGCTAAATGGATATTGTTTTTCTACTTGATTCTATGAAGTGGCAAATCCATCATGAACCTTTTAGCCATCACATCATTCTTGATAACTTCAATCAGGGTAAGTTACCAATACCTTACCACTATACCTCATATGTAGGCCTACATCAAACATATCCAATCCATCTTTTAAAACCTTCTTAAGGTAAATAGGATAAGCTCTTTTTATATGAAAAGATATGTATGGAAGAAGCTTAACAGTTTGACAAGAGAATGATTAACAAAGCTACAAATGCAACTATACATTGAGCTTACCCACTAATGTCAGTCCGCCCATATGTTGTCTTCAAGCCAACCACACCGCAGAGGGAAGAAGGAATCCGAACTGAACCTGCCTTTGCCATCAAAACTCAAGCTTCAACAACTATAACAATTTTAGAAGACTGAACAAGTTGATTCACAAAAGCCTGATGCGTTATAAATTGTACAACCTCCACCATCTGTTCCTAGTGCAGCAGAACACAACCCAGAAGCTACAATTGCTGCAGGGCCTGAGGATGATCCACCAGTGTACCTTTCTGGGGCATGTGGGTTTCTTGTTGTCCTGTCATGCAAAATATCGTAACTTATGCAGAACTTGATATACACACATATAAACATGCACATATAAATATATGTCGAAGAATATATGGTTTCCACAGCTGGGAAGGAAGAAGGTAAAATGTACTCTCCACACTACTTTATCTACATAGCCATGTCATATTCAGGAAGCAGCAATTTGACATTAATGCAAAATATTAGATTAAGAAGGATTACCATAGCAATCGCTGAACTGAATACAACATCCCACCCAACCCCAAAAAAAACTAGGATCCAAGGGAAAATATGTCTGGAAAAGTAAATAAGGTGCACCAGCAGAAAGCATTGCAACTGGAAACACAAAGCATTTTATTGATAACCGAATTGGACACAATATATATGATCCAGTACAAGTAGCACATGAAAGATGAGCTATTTCCTTTAGACTGATTATAAGACTTAAATGGTAGATGAAAAACACAGATAAATCAGATAAAATCTAAAATAAGGGAATCAAGCTGTAGACTCCAGTACAAGTAAATACATGAAATGTACTGACCAAATTTTTTTGCAAAAGCAACTTCCTGTTCACAAGTTCACTTCAGGCTTTGGATACAGAAAACGAAAGTTTTTTACTGTTACTTGCAGTTTCTGGGTTAAACCTACCCATAATTGGGATTGTTTCCTGTTGTACCCAGGCCCAACTCATGCATATTTGCCTTCCCAACCAAAATCACACCACAGCTGCGTATTCGTGAAACAGAAATTCCATCTTTTTCTACTTCATAAACCTCATGAAGCCACGTTGTAGCACCTGTAGATATCATTGATCATTTAAATGAACCTGGCAAAGAGATTGGTCGAAAACGGACAAGTCAGAGACCTACCCTTTGTAGTATGAGGGTAGAGATCAATGTCATCCTTAATTGCCACAAAAATCCCATCCAAGATTGACAATGGGTTTCCTGCATAACCCCACTTGAATAAGGAACTATCCCAAATGGAAGACTTTTGTCAACATAAAATGACACCACTAACAGTGGCATGCTACTGAGTTACATAACGTCATAACTGCAACTATGGTAAAATGCTTATTAAACCATTTATGAGTATAAATATGTGAAGAATCCAATTACCTTCCTCAAATCTTTGTGTGGAAGCTGCAGCTTGCTTTCTAACCTCATCAGGCTTGAAAGATATCAATAGAGGTGCTGTTGGGTTCTTAGCATCAAACTCCTCCATGGCAGAGATGAAGCGCTCAGCAACCTGTAGTGAAATGGCTGCTCATTATTCCTAGACTGGATAAAAATATAAAAGGATGGAGATCTAGAAACTGTAAGTAACTTACCACTGATGGAGTTGTGAGCTTCAATCTATATGCATGTGCATAGTCACGAATCTTCCAGTAGCGGAATGGTGCAGTCAAATCAGAACTCCAGTTGCTAGCAGGATCATAATATGGGAGACACTTCAAGGCAATGTCAACTCTATCTTGAGGTTTTCCATCTTCCTCCAATAAAGATACACAAGGCTCTGGCTCTAAATTCACATGTTGCAAGTACAGAGTCAATGCCAAGTTTATAGGCCTTGTAATCGTAAATCACAAAAGAAATGCATGATACCTAATTTTCTACACAAAGGGTTATCTCAATCAATAATATTTGCCATTACTGGAAAAGATTGGACAAAGCTATACAACTAACAACTCAATCAACCAGCAAATATAAATGGAGCATTTGATATACCTACACCTACTCATTTAAATGAAATTGAAATAAAAACATAATGTGAACAGATGGAATATCATAATACACATTAATTATCAGTATACAGACAGAAAAGAAAAGACAGAAATTTCACAAAACCTTGAGGTGGGAACTCAGGCTTAAACATAGGAGGCTCTGGTATGACAGTGTTCCTCAACATCTGTCAATCACAAATAAACAATTTTCAAAACTTATAGACACCGCCAGACAAAAGACAAACTGAAAACTGCCAACATTGAGAAGCGAGCTGCAAACACTAATCAGACCTCCACTACTCCGTTCTGGTTCTTCATGTAATCCATAATCAATGATCCAACCACTGGCGCCTCAGCTAACTTGACAAACAACTTCAACCCAAAACCAGTCAAATGCGGAGCTGCAAATTCAAGCCACCACACCAAATTCAACCAAGCAACAAGAAAGTCAGTAACATCATAGATACATGGAATTAAAACAGCACGATTTCGCTCCCATAAAACATCAGTAACCTTGAATGTTTTCCGGTATGTACTTCACCGCCGTCAAGTCAACTTCACTAGCCGGCAACATCACTCTCTTCTTCCCCATCTTCCAATAAAATCTAATCCAATCAATCAAAACTACCAAATCACCAGAAGAACATGAAGGATAACCAACACACACACACACATACAAATCACACTCCACTCATGTTCTCAGAAATCAGAACAGAAACATATACACACATATACGCATAAACGCAGAGAATAAACTGAACAGACCTTCGACTTATCGAATCGCTACGATATCAAACCAAAAAATTAAGAAAGTACGCTCACGTTCTCACAATAGAAACTCACATATACATATACATATGCATATACATATACATTTACGCATAAACCGATAAAACGCAGAGAATATATCGAACATACCTTTGAATTATCGAATCGCTAGGAGACAAGACAACTTGGAGCAGTTATCGAGGAGAAGAAGTGAGAAGGCTACGTTTTACAGTGATGTAGAACTGTAGAAGTGTTAATGCGCGGCTATAGCGATAGGTTGGTACTGGTCGATTCGGGAAGTTATTGAAATTCAATTTGGAGTTGGGAAGTAGGAAAGAGTTGGTGAAGAGTTTGCGCATTTGGTCAGCGCGCTATGGCCGGCTTGTTCCCAGTCGTCGTCGCGCTAATCGCCATCCGCCAACTGCCTCATTAAGCTGATGAGAAGCGGGCATTGCCATGATTTGCTCAGCTATAAATCCTATAATAGATAGACTATTTTGGCACATGTGAATGAATATATGAAAAATATCTTTTTTTTTTACACCACTAGATATCCACAATTACGGGCGTTTGGTTGGAAGAAAGGAATTAGGGGGAAATGAATTGTAATTCGGTGGGAAAGAATAAGGTAGGAATTACGTTGTTTGGTAAAGGGAAATAGAATTTAGAAGGAAATAAGTGGTATAAAGACTAAAATATCCTTGTGTAATAATAATAGTAATAACAACTAAGGGTAGTAATGTCATTTCATATGTTTTTCATTTCTCAAATTCATTGAATTGCAATTCATGGGGGTACCTCATGAATTGCAATTCAACAAAATGAGGGTATTGCAATTCTGCGGAATTGCAATTCCCTCCAACCAAACAATGTAATTGAGTCATCTACTGTATTGCAATTCAACTACAGCTAAATTATAGTGAACCAAACGCTTTGCTATATCATAGATTATGATCTATCTTGTATTGTGAATTGTGATTCAGTCTAAAAATAACATTTTATGTACTTGTAGTTTACAGATTATGTACATGCAATTAACTGTTTCTGTACATGTAAACAAATTGAAAGTGTATTACAAACACATAATAACATGACAACTACAAACACTGTTAACTGCAAGTATAGAATATGATAACATTGTAGTTCCGCTTCTTGCAATGAAGAAAGACTTGTTGTAGATCGTCGGTTAGTCCAACCAAGAAAGACATGGGAGTTTTTAGGTGCTTTGATTCTTTTTCTTAGTAAGATAAAACTAGTTGGATGAAAAGAGTGCTCTTAAAAGCAGAGTACACTTATCTTATATATGATACCAATATCATTATAATACAACAACTAAAGCAAGCCCCACCACACTGAATTATGAACTTTGAGCCTCCAGGAGGATCAAGGCAGAATTCTATTCATTTCCCCTTCGTCTGGGCGAGAAAGGACTCTGACTCTTTTATACTAGAGGATTAGTCCCATTTCGTCACAATTGATCCACGTCCTACCCGAGCTTAGAAAGCTATCTTACTAAGGTGAAGAATTTCTTTATTATTGCACGAGCTAAGAAAAGATACACAATCTATTATCTAATTAAGATGTTATGTGCCTACAATTTGTTTACAAGTTCAAAAATGGTTAACTACAAGTACATAATGTATTAACGGTAGACACATAATTTTAGACCAGGTTTCACAATGTAATATGAACTCTGCTCCATGCCTACATGGTATAACAATTGGTCCTGAGTATGCCATAATTATAGGAGGCACGTTAGAGCTCGTACCATACTAAGAATAATTCTCGTTTGCACTGGGCAAGCCAAATTAAAAGGCAAAGTGCTAGTCATATTATTTGTACTTCTCGATTATAGTATATCTCTCAAGTTTTTTTTACTTTTATGGTCCGTTTGGAAAGCAGGAAAATGACTTCTGAAAAATGTTTTTTGGAAAATGAGTCATTTTTTGAAAAACATTTTCCTTTCCAGTGTTTGGTTGCATTCTGGAAAACTATTTTTGTGTGTTTGGTTCATTTTCTGGAAAATGAGTAGAATTGTATAATTAAATATTTTAATTATTTTATTTAGAATATTACAACATGTATAATAATATATAATAATATAATAATAATTTTAAATATAATAAAAAAATAATTAATAATATATCAAAAATATTATGGTGGTGGTGGTGGTGTAGTGGTAGTGGTGTTATTTGTTATATAATAATAATAATAATAATAATAATAATAATAATAATAATAATAATAATAATAATAACTGGTGGCGGCGGCGACAGTGGTGGTGTGATGGTGGTGGTGGTGGTGGCGACGATGGTTGCGGTGGCATGGTGGTGGTGGTGGCGGCGGTGGTATGGTTGTGGTGGTGGCGGCAGCGGTGGTGTGATGGTGGTGGTGTGGTGGTGGTGGCAATGGTTGCGGTGGTATGGTGGTGGTGGTGGCGGCGACGGTGGTTGCGGTGGTATGGTAATGGTGGTGGTGGCAGCGACGATGGTAGTGGTGGTGGTGGTGTGGTGGCAGTGGTATGGTGGTGGTGCGGCGGCGACGATGGTTGCGGTGGTATGGTGGTGGTGGCGGCGACAGTAATGGTAGTGAGGTGGTGGTGGTATGGTGTTTGATGATGTTGGTGGTGGTGTGATGTTGGTGTAAAAGTTGGAAAATGACTTCCCCAAAAAAAGGGGAAGTCATTTTCCTCCAAAACAAGCATATTTTCCAAAGTCAACGGAAAATGATTTCCGTTGACTTGATTTTCCAGGCACATCCAAACAATGGAAACTTGAAAAATGATTTTCAGAACTTATTTTTCAGGTTTCCAAACACACCCTTAGTCCCATGACGGGAGGATTATTTCTATTTTTGGTCCTTAACTATTAATTTTTTCATATTTGATCCCATAATTATTGGAGTCACTTTAATTTCCAGTAATCTTCTATTCTTTCCCATGTTGTCCATAGTTCTCATAGCACCATGGATTCTAAGAGAAAAAATTTAGGGTTTCTATAGCAAATTGGGGACGCGTTGATGTGTTTTGGGAGGAAATTGGCATTGATGTGTTTTGGAAGTAAGAGAATTTACATATTTATCCATCTAGCTCCGTTAATTTTAACAGCAATATGAGGTGAGAGACTAAAATGACCACTAAATAAATAGTATAGGGACTAAATAGGATCACATATTTTCTCAAAAAAAAATAGGGTCACATATATAATTAAGGGACTGCGTTAGCTATTCTAATATAATTGAGGGACCAAAATAATAATTTTTCATGAAGGACAAAGTTGTCATCTTCTATGACATTTTTAACAAGATTTAAACAACCGTAAGACTAAATGTAAAATATTTAATAGTCATTGACCAAATATGAAAATGATCCAATAGGTGTGGAGTAAATATGAAAAAATTAATAGTAAAAGACCAATTATGAATATATATATATATATATATATATATATATATATATATATATATATATATATATATATAATTGTTTTGTCTAATTAATTTATAATAGGATAATGACGTGTATTCTAATGAGTAAAACTCCTGTCACTTGTAGTATTTTATTGGAGAAAAAAAATTCAAAACATTGACCCACTTTTTTTATGAATGAATTAAAGTGTGTCACATCAATTTAGAGTAGTAAAAATGAAATAAAAACATTGACCCATTTTTTTTATGAATGATTTAAAGTATGTCACATCAATTTATAGTAAATGGAATAAAAAGTGAGAGTATGTGTAACATTACTCTTTATAATATTGTTAGACTTATATATACATTAACGGTGGGTAGCAATGACATGATTACTAAATAGGCAATTCAAGAATAAGAATTCAACCTAAATAAATAAATCACATGAACATATTGAATATGGCAAGGGTGCCTAATAACAATACTTCAAGTGATCAATATTCCAAGAAAATAAGATTTGGAGAAAAAAAAAAAGCTCAAAATAAATAAATTTCTTTAAATTTGGTACTGAATAGAGCAGATTGTTCATCAATAAAATGCAAGGAGAAACCAATCAACAGTTAACATAGGGTGTGTGAAGTACAAACATTTTAGCAGCTCAAAATCTGACTGGAGCCACTGTTCTTGTGGTAGACCAGTAGCAACCAGAACTATTCTAGTGTGACAATCTTCATTGAAAAACAGCAGGAAGGAAATCCTGAAGCCACCTGTAAACAATTCTAAAAAGGACTAATTATAGCCTCCTAAGCATATAATTACCAAGAGAGATGTCTCTGTAGATCTCAGTATGTTCTGTATCATCGAGCACGAATATAACAACCAATGAATATGGATGGTATGATGGTCTAATTCCCCTACTGCTGCTTCTTCAAAGCAAGAAATGTGTCGCCAAGTTGAGATTCACAAGCAGTGTGACCATCGGGTTCCAAAGCTTTGAGGAACGGTGCTGTCAGGTTAAGGCTTGATAAAATGCCGAATACCTTGCTGCAGAATTTTCGAACGTCTGCTCTTCTGGACTGCTTGTCGGGCATGTTTGTCACGAGAACCTGGATTAGATGAGAGAGTTTGCGGAGCTTGCCTTTCAACGTTTTCTTTGATGCTTCCTGGTTGGTTTGATCAGCGTTTGCAGGCACCAGTGACTTTAATGTCTCGAGGATTAGATCGAGACCTTCAACTTGCCGGAACTGCAACTTTGCATTGCTACATTTCTCTAAGAGGAATTCAAAGAGGTGATGACCAACCCATGGTCTTCTTTTGAAAATTTCCTTCAAAAAGTCGGACTTCATTTGAGATTTTTTACTGTCGAAATAGGCTGCCACAACGCTCTTGAAAATATCCAAAGTTCTCTCAAGTTCGTTCTCCGGAAAGTTTCTACCATCAACTATCTTCAGAATCCAAAATGTAGAATTTTGTGCGAGTGAATTGATCATTTTGTATCGGTTCAAGGATACAGACTGCTTCTTCTTTGACAGATTGGCAGCAGATTTCTTCTTCTTGAATGGTCTAGCTGCCAATTTCAAGAACTTTTCTAAAATAGATTCGAGTAAAGGAAGCTGCACAGCTTCCCCTCTCGGGTAATCCTTTGCTTTAAATATCTTCTTTTGTAGTATCCCCCAAATACGTTGACTAAGCTGCTCACTACCTTCGGTGGCATTAGGATTTATAAATGCCTGGGCCAAATTCTGAAAGACTTTCAGCACTTGTGGCTCGCCTGCATAGTAACAATTTGGAATGCATTTAAAGACCATGTGTCAGTATCCAAGATTCACCCTAGAAAACCTGCTATTTATAGGAAAAGTAATTTACTACCAACATAACTACGACAACACTATCTAGAATCATAGTTAACAGCTATAGAATGCAATTGAGAATAGTTAATACCCGATTTGGTCCCTCGACTATTAGGATTTCACCACTTTGGTCCTCGACTTCCAGACTTGCTGAATTTCATCCCCAACTATGCAATTTTTACCTAAAATAGTCCTTTGTCCAAACCAA